GCTGCGTGTGAGGCGCTTAACGGCGTAAAGCTAGGCGTCTGAATATGTTTACGTAGAGGGGCACCTTTGATATATGACTCAAAGTGCTTGTTTACTACTTCTGTGATTTCTGTGCACAGGGTAGAGAGGGGTTTGCGGAGCCTTGAGGGGAGCTTTTGGACGTCTTCGGATTGTCTGTAGTCGTCCCAAAGAGCTGCGATAGGGCTGAACACAAGCCGGGCTTCCTCTGCGCGGGTTGTAGCTGCGTTTATAATGTTCTCTAGTTGGTAGGACATAGAGGTAGGCTGGGGGGGGGTAGCTGAGGATGTTGTAGGGGGCGGGGGGGCCATTTTTGGGGCCAACGCGCGTCTGCGCTAGGCGCGGCTGCGCTTTGCAAGGAGTAAGAGCTCAGTAGGTAGATATGATAGAGTGATTCAATAATAAAAACGCGTTAATATTACGCGTTTTTTATTTGTCTTGAAAAGGTTGACGCAATATTCGAAAAGAAGGCCTGGCTAGATCTCAGCTACGGTCGGTCACATGACTTCCCATTTCTCCTTTCCCTAGTATAACTAAATCCATACCAAGTTATAGTAACGATATTATATTAGTAAGATACCTAGTCGTTACTCTGTACACACTATATAGAACTCTATTCTACTAAACTTCTATTACAAGTAAGATAATTGTCTTAGGATACCTATGTCGGTGAAAAGTAAGAGTTAACAATTATTTAAGCTCTTTATATAACTATTTAAGTTATATAACGTTTTTAGAATAACTTTATTCTAAGAGAGGTATATATAGAGTAACGACCAGGTATCTTATACTATCCTACCAGCGACCAACCCCCTTTCGCAATCACAACATCGGATCTTAGTATCACACCCGTTTTCTCCCTTAAACAAGAATAATGCGAAGTCCTGGCCAAGCGCAGGGATTCGAGTAGTCCAAGCACAGAGAACCCGTTCCGCTACTAGCACTAGATTACCGCGCCGGATTGGGAGCTAAGCGAGTACAGCGGTTCAAAAGGGAAGTTAACAGAACCCGCCTCTTAGCAACCAGAATAACAGCACCACATAAATTTCAACAAACACACCATCTCACACTAACACATCAACCTTATTAAATCTCCCATCCCATCTTCCTTCAACCCACTTCAACCCCCCAACAAACCAGAAAACTACTTACCTCCTTACTATCACTATCATTATCACTATCACCTCCATCAAACCCGCAATACACACCTCTCTTAAAATAAAATCCCCCAAAACCATCCCACAACAAAACCCCTATATAAACACCTAAGAATAATTATAACTACTTACTTTTAAATCGTCTAGATATACTAATATATTTATTTTATTATTCTAGTTTATGAAATGCTTGGTATATTAATATTTTATATAGTGTATACAGAGTAAGGACTGGGAATTTTATATCGAAGTATAGGAAATACTATAATTAAATCTTTTTATAAAGTTAAATATACTAAGGTGCGAAGTTAGGAATCTCACATATACATCAGGAAAAGGGAAAGTAGAAGATAATAGACCACAATACAACTAATATCACATATCTCGTTCGATACGGGAAAGAATCTGAGAGGAGAAGTAGTAGTGTAGGAGGAGAAAAGGGAAGAGTTCTACGATGCTGTTTAGTTCTCTAGTGCTACAAGCATGTCTTGTAAGAATATTTACTCGCGCCTAGTTTAACATGAATACTATGTTTCATGCCGACATTATTATAAGGAGCGGCACTATTAGTCAGTCCTTAGAGCCATGTAAGAAATTTATGGTATGGCAATAGGACATTGACAATAATCCATCTTTTTAGCTGCACTAGATACCCAGGTAGGTATTTTCATTTCATTACAACACTTCTATAGAAACCGCATTTTGATGGGACGTTTTGTTTGAATGAATTTTCATATTGATCATTGCAAAGGGGAAAGCAAACTCAGTCCTACATACAATCATGATGTCACTTTTCCACTTTCGAAACCATGCGTAGGGCAATTTTGGCACTAGCTGTGTCTCAAAGCTTCCCTGTGTGCTAGCGAGCAATGTTTCCTGTAAAGGATTAACGATTCAACGACCCGTGTCAGCTCAGCCATCGAACCCTCAACTACCCTCACTCACAGAAATCAGAAAGAGTGAAAGGGATCGAAAGGCAATCAGGAACTGTCATTACTAATCTCCCAAATATCCTTTGTTGCTGATTTCGCCAGAGGTTGCTCTGGTTGTTTTTGGTTGACAGGGGTTGAAGTGGAAGAAGACACTTGGTTCTTTGGGGGGCGTCCTCGAGGACGTTTGCCGGTGACTGTAGTAGAGTTCTCATTTTTCGTATTTTGTGTGCTATCCTTTTGTGGACGTCCAGGTCGGCGCTTGGCGGGGGGACTTGCTAGAGATGAAGGGCCGGAGAGAACGGAGGCTATTTCCGAATCATCGGTAGGGCGAGGATTATCTGGAGTTGTCGCACGAAGTGGTTTTTCTGGAATATCCTTTACAGAAGGCAAACCTGCAACAACAGGCTCACCAAATGCCTCCTTTGCCTTCTCTTCGAGCCTTCTCCTAGCTTCCCTTGGGTTCTGCCAAGAGTTTGCCGTAACCCACTGTTGTGCCTCCAAGCCTCGGTTCTTGAAAGAGACAAGATACTCATGACGAACTCTCTTCTCAATAACTTCATCAACCTCCCAGACATCTTCCTCTTCATCCAGCTCGAAGTTGTACCGACTTCTTTTAAGCGGGTTCTCTTTCATCTTCCGCGCTTCTGCTTCTACCACGGCATCGATCAACGCTTCGTCAGCTTTCATCATAGCTTCCAGATCTAACGACTTGGAATTCGCAGGGGCATTGGGCACCAAAGATTTGATGGAATGTACAGTAATGGGAACGTTGGACGTTTGAGTACCATTGTCTTGGCGCTGAATTCCGTGTGTATCTTTTGGCATGTTGTCTTCACCTGTATTTGAGGGTTTCATGAATTCCTTTGCTAATGTAATGACCTGTTCCTTGACATCTGACTTCGTGTTTTGGAAGAGTAATTTCAAGATATCCATTTGTCTTTGTGGATCCCATCCACTCCATCTCTCCGCAAATTCCTTAACGCCATTAGCTTGCTTGGGGTTGCGGTTAGGCGTAGACGGAGCTGAGTGAAGAGTACGCGGGGCTGGTCGTACCCCAAAAGCGATTGCAGAAGCATGCAAAGTTGACAAATGTCTCTTTTCTTCAATAAACCACTTTGCAGCTTCGAATGTTCCCATAACTATACCAGGTGGTAGTGCAAATGCTGGAGTGTTTGATGCGACTTCATTCATGGAAGAGCCATTTGGGGGGTTGTGTATGGGGGTGACTGATGCGGAGGAAGCCAAATTTGTGGTAAAATACCCAGGTAATGTAGCTCCTCCTATAATGGAAATTAGTGTGTTTTAAGAAAGTGTTTAGTCAAAAGTGACTTACCTGACGGTTCTCCGCCTACGCGTGTGACAACTGCTTGAGGAGGCATATCCATGTTGTTGGTTGGATTGGGAATTACAGACTGATTTGACTGAATTTGCGCAGGTTCTGCTGCAGTAGGTCGTATTGACTGATCGGCTCTACTTCCCTGTCTGGTCATGGTTCCGCTTGGTTGGTAAGAGGTTTGCATTTGTACAGGACCAGTTGTGAGACTAGCATTTGAGCTTCCTGGGTTTGCCACAGGTCGTATTGGTGAATCTCTAAGCGTATGTGCTTGGATTGAGCATTTGGTTGAAGACGCAGCCATTGTAGTGGTAGGAGTTGAGTCTGTATTTGCTACCATGGAATTATTACGAAGTGCAGGAGAGACTGACGTGTTCATCGTAGATTGCCCTTCTCCACCACTAACTGTATTACTCAATGGTTTTGAAACTGAAGTTGTCAGTGCTGAGCTGATTTCTTTATCCCTAGGTTTTGGAGGCGTCGTTCCTGATTTCGACCCAGCTACTGAAGCAAAATGTGCGGCGGCCTTCTCGAATTTGCTCAATTCAAAATTCATTCGTGCCTCTCTCTGCTGTTCCTCAGTTTCCTCTTCTGTCTCCTGGTCGTCTGAGGACGAATATGAAACGATTGAAGACAGTCGTGTTCGTTTCGGCTTTTCCTTGCTAGACTTCGCCAATGGACTCGCAGTTTTTGATCTAGCAAGACGCGAACTTGGGGACGGAGATAACACGTTTTTTGGTGCACGCGTTTCCTTTCCACCTTCTACAGTCTTTCTCAGTGAACTTTGAGGAGCGTGACGGTCATTCTGATCAGGCGTCTTTAGGGTCTCTTTCTCCCTTCGACCAGGGGAAATGGCAGGTGAAGCTGGCGTCGTTGAAGTGGCGCGGGTTGGTGTACCTTTCTCTTTCGCACTGCCCGCCATAGTTTGAGGGGTTGTAGGCAGTATTTGAAGAGTCTGTGCGTATTGATACAGAATTTTGCGAAAGTGAAGCACTTGACCGACCTTCGCTCGCAGAAGTGCGCAGGTGGAGGTGGAGATGGTTTGGGTTGAAGAGATCGCTTGAGAGGTGGTGCGCTACGTGAAAGGTGCGCGTTAAGTCATGGTGAGTCAGTATTCGTGAATGGGGCCCACTGTGAATGTTTTCGCAAGATAAAGATGGTCTTCAGTGAAGCTGTTGAGGTGGACTTACAGAAAGGATGTGGGTGTCAAGGGGGGAGGTGGCGAGGGAAGGTGAAGTCTGGTAAAGGTGAAGACGCGTTTACCTGAACAATATTCTGCGGTTCTTTGTTATTGATTTTTGATTGCCTTTCCAAGCAATCTTGAATCACGAAGACATCATTGCCAAGATTTGAAATCCCAACTCTGACTCTTTGTGGATGGGATGAGGAAAGTGCTACCTATCTCATGTCGCTTGTGAGGCAGGGACGACTGCTGGTGTTTCCCTGCATGTAGAAATTATTTCAGCAACCTTGGCATTGACCAATCCTGATACAGGGTTTCTGCGTAGCAAATTTTACTTGATATCACACAGTTCTCAAGATATATGGAGAAGAGAACTAGTATACAAATGCTCTACCATAGGTATATATGGTACGAATCCCTTGTGAGCCTGTGGCTCAATACTGTCTAACCGCCTAATAGGAGATAGCCCCAACCCCGAAGTTCCCCCCACACCAACCCCTTCGCTTAACCACAGGACCCACAAAACCGCAAAATAATACTGATATCCTGGAATAGCACACCCACCATCACCAAAACTGGTACTTGCCCGCCTAGCCCAGTCAGTTATTGTGTGCTCCCATATGCACCAATTCCCATAAACGCCAACACACATGAAGCTGTTTCCTCTATTAAATTGGACGCTCCCTGGTCAAGCGTCAGACAGCTCGTGGGGATATGAAAGTAAGTCATCCTTAATTCTAATAAAAAATAATAATACTAATCTTCTATAGGAAAAAAGACGTAGGTGTTTTCTTAATAGTCTTTTTGTGTCGTGTTAGTACTATGCTGTCAAGGATTTATTTCTAGACCCTTCTTGTTCTTGTGATTACGCTCTGAGTCTCATCAGTGAATGAGACATCTCAAGAAAGAAATAAATGTCTTTCTAAGTTTGTAGCCATTATGAATTCCATGTATGTGCAAAACTACAACAGCAAAATCTATCCATCATTCCCCAGATCGTATAGGCAATCTTTGCAAATACCGCACTTCTACGTACTTTATCTGCTGTTTAGGGTATAACTCAATCAAACCCCTCAGCAGCAACAAAGGACCTACTATCCCTATTGATGTAGCCTATGATATAATCGTCAACTTAAAATAAGTGTGCGACCACTGTGCAAAATGGAAACCCTAACACGCCAAAAAGTCATTTGTTTGAAGAGGATAAGCTTAACCAAAACAAAGCAAACAGCTAATTCTTCACTTTAATAGCTACCTTTAATTCCTTTAACAGCTTAGTTCATACTCAGAAACCGAATCTGGAATAGTGGAAGCTGTGAAACATAAAGCTGCAGTCATAATCACTTAGTATAAACCTGGTAGGTAGCTATCATTTCAGTCATAGACCCTTGTTCATCTGCGCTATCACTGGCTATATATATCTTATGAGAATATTATCATTTCAATCTCGCTTAGAATTTTGGTAAGCCCCTTCTATTTGTTCAATGTGCATGTATGCTTCACAGCACTATCATTCGTCCACATACTCTTGGGTCGACGTCAGCGACCTCTACTCACCTAACATCAAAACTGTCATAACCATAGACATAGCCAACCGTCACCAAGCGAAAGCAAGTTACAAAAGTCAAATGCTCCATCCACAATCACTAACGTACTGGTTTCGCTTATAACATGCCTCATGAAAAGCTGGACTTACGGGTGGTAACCAAAGTTCACAAAAGGTAAATCCATTAAGGGTTTCTGAGATAAAGGTAATATCTAACAGTTTGAAGCTATTGAGGTGCTTGATAAGAATCATTTCAGTAGCTATTTCTTCTTTCTTGGAGTTGTAGAGGTCTGATATGAGGTTCCAGATGTACCAACAAGAAGAAAAGACATGGTTGAAATGATGCAAGACTATCAAATAGGCGATAATCCAATAATCTTATTAGGAAGACAGCGAAATATTGGAGCGTTCCCGTTTCCATCAACAATGCACGCCTTCAAGGGGCGGCGGTATACAATATCAATAGATATGGCTCATGAATCACTACAGCATCTTACATGCACCAAAGATCATTCAGACATGCATTGAACCTCTCCATATGATATACCAATATGCCCCAAAAACCAAAAAATTGAAAATGGAAAAACACATGACCAAAATATCATGTGACGCAACACAGCAAAAACGCGGCGTGATTTCTCCCCCAGCTGCCGCCCACCCCACCTTTCACCCCGCCACCCACTCGGAAAAAAGGTCCATTTTCATCCCAACTGGCATGCTCGATGCAAACCCGGAAGGTCAAATCCCCCAAGTAGAATCTCAATCGGGCCAGCCAATCCCAACCAATTCCAGCGTATTCAATCCCAAGCCCCCAACTCAATCCTACCCCAATTTCAGAGGAACCCAGATCAACCATCCCAATTTCCGAAACCAAAACCAACCAAGCCAAGCACGACAGGAGACAGGTGTAACCTATAAACCGAACTCGACCTTCATAACCTCGTCAATCCCCTCCTTGATAGCGCTGGTCTTCACCTCATCATTCCTCTTCAATGGCCGTCTTGGGAACCCTCCATACCCATAATAACTTTGAATGGCACCCTTCGTTCCGGCAATTGCCGCCTTTGTTAGCACCCAATCGCCTTTGCTGAGAACCTTCTGTAACTCAAACGCCTCCTCTTTTTTGCCCTCCGAGTACAAATTCCAGACCTTGACGCAGACCTTGGGCATCACGTTTGCGCCTCCAGCGATGATACCTGAGCCTCCAGAGATGAGAGTTTGGGCAGTAAAGTCACACATGCCTCCGAATGCCATGTATCCACTCCCTTCACTGAAAGGAGTTTTGGCGTTGGTAGCGAAGGCAACACGAGTGAGTTTGCCAGTATTTCCACATGTGAACTTGGTCCCGACGATGTTGGGATGTTTGGCTAGCCGGATGAGTAGGTCTGAGTCCATATCAATACCTGCTACGGCACCGGGATAATTGTATAGGATGATAGGGAGGACAGAAGCGGAGGCTACTTCAATGAAGTAATTATAAACCGCATCCTCATCCATGAAACCGCGAAAGTAAGAGGGGGGAAGAAGGAGCACATATTCTCCACCCGCCTTTTCGGACTCTGCAATCAAGGAAAGTGTTCCTCGTACTGAGCCTTCGGTGGCACCAACTATGATAGGAATTTTGTCGAAACCTGCAGAATCGAGAGCTTCGCGGGTAGCTTTCGTCACTGCACATTTCTCGTCAACTGAACAGTGTACTGCTTCGCCATTGGATCCCATGGTTACGAGACCAACGAGACCAGCTTCTGCGAGACGAATGGCATGTCTTTTGATGGTTGGTATATCGAGTTCCTCAGTACCAGGATCAAAGAAGGTCATAGTTGGGGCGTAGATCCCCGGAAGTAACGTTCGGCGAGCACTCGCGTGACCGTTTGTGCCATTGACTCCGTTTGCTTGTGCCATTTTTGATGGTATGATATCTTATGACCTCGGAAATGAAGTGTTGTCGGAATGTTGAAGTGAAGAATGAGAGAGGAAGATTAAACTTTTTTTATAAATGGGGGCACTTGAATGTAAGAAGAGGAAAAATGTTTTGGCTTTCACAATCTGACAAGGAGAAGTAGGCCGAGAACGGAAGGTACACGAGAGAGCAACTTCAACGAAATCCACGGAAAACAAGGGACCTAGCTTGAGGAGCCGGGGAAAGTGTTGAAATATAAAGGGCTGTCTTGCTGACCCTGCAGGAAAGTTTGCCGAAAATAAATCGTATTGTATGTGAGCGATGGACTTCTTCCATTCCCCTTGGTGACGAATGACACTTTTCTTGTGGGGCCGTCTCTGCTGTACGTTCAACTGGCCGTATGCCATTGTTCCGAAGCTGTTAGCTGTTAATTTTTAACGCCACTGTTGTTACTTACGTACCAAAAAGCCGGGAGAGTTTCCGGCTCCAGTGGCCGAAATTTGATGGAAATTCCCATCTCGAAAGCCGGTCATTTTTGCCCAAGACTCGGTGGCTCAAAACGCGATGTAGAAGTGGTTTCTTTTGGACAAAGTACTCGACTTGTCGACCGGGGATATACACATCGTCTGTTTCCGTTCTCGTGCATACGGAAATATTGAAAACACATGGCTTTGCTGTATCAATGGCAGGTGCTTGAGTTCTGGGGCGGCGTTTGGCGCGCTCCGTTTTTTCTTGGGATGTGAAGACGTGATGTTGATGACTGTCGGTTGTCCAAGTTGGGGGTCGTGAGTGGATGGACGAGTTTTTCCACCAGTCATAAACTCCGAAAAGTAAAGACATGTAACGGGAACAGCGTGGGGGAGACTAGCCCATAGAACGGTTTGTCAAGGGCAATACAAAAATACCCCCGCTCAGCCTATAAGGTAATACGATGCAGAAGGTAAATGCGGGGCGAATGCTGACCCAAACCAGTGTGGTTCTGACCTTGGCTTGGGCTCATGATCAGCGTCCTGCTTGAAGAGTAATCTATAATATATTCAGAGAGCCCGGTGAGGTCAATTTCTGGTACTAGATCCCTTGGAAATAGCCTGAAGACATACCGGATTGGCGGTGTATGTGACCGGAGGGGTTCGAAGGGCTCTTTGGGTAGGACAACAAACGTCACGAGAGGTTCGCTGGGTGGCCTGTGGGGAAAATGAGGCTCGAATGAACTGGAGTTGCTCAGCAGGAAAACACGCTGGACAGGTACAGGCACAGGCAGGACAGCACGCTGGGAACATGTGGAGGGGCAAGTGGATGGCAGCACACAGTTCCCCGCAGACGTCGATGTAATAAATGGCGCAACGAGGGCCTGTTAAGGTCTCGCGTACGGGATTCGATAAGAAGAGGGTGTACAGGGAGAAATCAGCAAGCCTAAGCCCGCTTCTCCAGAAATATTCCCCCGCCTCTAGCCTCCCGCTAAATGCTTAAATGTGGACCCTTGGGTCACCCCTTCAACGCCACTCTTGGCCCTTCCGGATTATTTGTGAGCGAAAATGGATGAGTTGCCCCTCCATAAGCTCTCATTCGAGTGACTGGATTTTCCGTCAAACGCCGCCTTTACACTACCCTTGATTACCACGGGAGCCAGTTGGATTAAATTCCCTCCCGCATAACGAATTGTGTGTCTCCTACCCATATCCGATTTATCATGTTTTGTGCCAGGAAATTCACTTGCACTTTTCTAACAAACAACCCAATTGATACTGGATGAGGTGAAGAATCTGACAAACTTTAATACGGCACAGTACGATACAATACGATACAGTAACACGCTCAAAATGGCAACTGAAAATGCCCTCCTCGATGTTCTCATGGTGGGAACAGGAGAATACACCACCGGCTTCGTAGGAGGAGGGGCCTCCGGGTCAGACAAGAAGGTAGGTGTAGTTGGTCTCACAATGTTTGATCTACGAAGAAGAGGCAAAGTTGGAAAGCTTTCAATGGTTGGAGTAACGGGTAACAAGTTCCCCGCAATTCGTATGTTACCCCATTTCTCACAAACACCAAATTACGACACTGAATAATTACTTTCAAGGTGAACATCTCGATAAGAATATCTCCAAAGTCTACAATGGCCTTGATACCTCCTTCGAATCCTACCCCGCAAACGATGTCCGAGATGGAAACTCGTATAAAGCAGCAATTGATGCTCTGGCTCCGGGCTCCGCAATCACAATCTTTACTCCAGACACCACACATTACCCCATTGCACTCTATGCTATCGAACGAAAAATCCACGTTTTAATAACCAAGCCCGCCGTCAAAACTCTCGAACATCACCAAGCCCTCCTAGCAGCAGCCAAAGAATATGGAGTGTTTGTCTACATCGAACATCACAAGCGATATGACCCCGCGTATGCGGATGCAAGATACAAGGCCCAGAAGCTGGGAGATTTCAACTACTTCTACAGCTACATGTCACAGCCAAAATCGCAACTTGAGACTTTCAAAGCTTGGGCTGGTGTAGATTCAGATATTTCGTACTACCTAAATTCACACCACATCGATATCTGCGAGTCCATGGTAACAACACTAGGCTATACACCCGTCAAAGTCTCCGCTTCGGCATCCAAAGGTGTTGCCGTATCCCTAGGCTGTGACCCCATAACCGAAGATACCATCTCGCTCCTCGTGCACTGGGTCAAGCAGTCCGATCCCTCAAAACAAGCGACGGGGGTCTACACAGCATCCTGGACCGCACCCCAAAAAGCCGGTGTCCATTCAAACCAATACTTCCACTACATGGCTTCCCAGGGCGAAATCCGTATCGATCAAGCCAAGCGTGGTTACGATGTCGCAGACGACAATCTGGGCAATGGATTGATGTGGTATAATCCTTTCTACATGAAATATGCGCCTGATGAGGAGGGAAACTTCGCTGGTCAGGGTGGTTATGGATATGTGAGCTTTGAGAAGTTTGTTGATGGATGTAGACTTGTCAATAAGGAGGGCAAAGCGGGCTTGGAGAAATTGGATCAGAGAGGTCTTCCTACGTTGAGAAATACGGTTGCTACTACTGCTATCTTGGAGGCTGGAAGAAGGGCCATTGATGAGAATAGGGAGGTGGGAATCAAGGAGGTGGATGGTACGTGGCAGCTTGTTTAGCGAGCGTGAATAAGGGGCTTGGAAAATTTATTTGCTGCGCATTTTGTGCGGTTGCTTTAGCGAGTCTAAAGGATCAGGGGAAATTGAAATATGTGGTGCAAAAATTGAGTTACGATTTATTCAGTTTTTGCATGTATGACATTGCTATTTCCTGTGTCTATAATGATGGTCTTCCCTCGTTTAATCCAAGCTTCTATTCGGGTACAACAAGAGCATTTTTACTACATATTGACCCCTAGGTAATCTTTGAGCAGTGACCATGGGATCAGTTCATCTTGTAGCGACGAAATAACTAGCAGCAATAGGTCGCAATGTTACATGACCATTTGCGTCGCAACCTCCATCTTTGTCGGTCCCGTAATCGCACTAATTCGTTGCTATATCGGCGGACGCAGTAAGGCTTCGGACGGGAATAGAGGTAGGCCACATGATGAATGATGGGTTTAAGTGGGTGAAGACTTTGTGATACTATTTTTCTTAATGTAGAGGTGTCGGAGTCTTTTGAAGGTTTAATGGCGTTGGGTATAAGATGATTGGTAGGGTAATGTTCTAGATTAGATGGCTTTATTGGGTATCTTATAGGCAGATCGATAGACTGGCTTGTAAGAGGGGGGCTGGATGATTGTAGTGTTGAATGATAATATTTATAAAGCTAAATGAGTTCGGATGAGAGATCACCTTGGGAATTTCAAGAGTATTACAGGCAAAGGAAGGGCCTTGACAGCCCTCACTCCTTCAGAATCAGTTCACGAGTCCAAGCTGTAAGCGAGGCGGGTCATGTGATATATTATGTCACAGGCTACCTAAGATATAGCAAAAAAGAGCCACCAGCTGCTCTTGCCACTTCCAAGTAAAGTCTCGTTGTGGAAGCGAGTAGTGATTTGAACATAGAAGATGCAAAAATATTCCGGTTGCTCTTATTTATGTACCTAGTACTCAAGTATGTGCAGAGCAATGATTATGGATGACCAGACCAGTGGCGGGGGCCTGTACTGTATGCAAAGTCAGAAACCTGTCAGAAACCAGCGGGCGAATATGACAGTGCATTTCGCGAAGTGCAACAAAACATCTATGATTCGCAGTTCTTCCACCACATTGCATCGAAGAAGAATTGAAGAAATAACTGCGCATGATGCGACGTGCAATGAAAACCCAATTGGGGATAAAGTATGACTTTGCATACAGCGATCTGCGAGAAAAAGAGAAGCAAAAGAGCGATGATTGGACGAAATTTTGTAATCGTGCTTCGAGGGGTTGGGATCATGACATTGCATGAGATAATGACTGCATCAGCCAACGACCTAACTGCATACGCTAACGGGTGCATGTTCGCGAAGTGCCACGAAGCGAAAAATGCCATTGCTGATTTGTTGGATTGTCCCTCTTTAGTACGCCAATATGACTTTGCATGTCAGAAACTGGGAAATGACTGCATCATGGAACGACTGACAGCATATGCGATTTGCAACAAAACAAGTTTGGTTGATGGTGATTGGCTATATCTGAGATCATTCGTGGAGGAAATGCGCCCAGGTTGGAAGAATGCTGTATTGTTTCTGAATGTAATCGGTAATTTGTGACGGGATTTTGCGGGAGGGTTGGCCTACAGTTGAACTTGGTACGGATTTCTTGTTTGCGTCGAAAATCCGAGTGTACTCGTAAAGTCTCCAAATGGCCTCTCGGCTCTTTAGAAACCTTTGCTGTGTCGCTTAATCATAAACTGTTGGTTTGACTTTACGTCAATAAAGTCGGTAGACAATAAAGAAAGAGTGTGATGTAATAGACTTATATTATGTGGTCTACTCGAGTAACTAAGTCCTTGTTGTATTACATGCCGAAGCAGGTGTAGCTGGCTGAGTACCTGCGTACTTGTAGGTGCCAGAGTACGCTAGTCCCGAAGGAGCAGTTACGCTCGGAGCTAGCCAATAATTATTCACTATTATAAACCGACATAAACACACCGACCGTGAAACTCGTGAGAAGATTCGAGGGTTATATTTTACGTTCGTATTCGCTTTTCTGGGGGTTCTTCCTTGTTTAGACATTTTAGGGAAATAGAACGCCGATATACGTAGGCCTCTCATTTAGTGAACCTCTTACTTCCGTTGCTGTGGCGTATAAAATGCTTGTGGAAAGTGAGAAAAGAAGCGCTGTATTGAGTGTTGAAACCCGAATCTCGACTCGCTAAGCGGTAAGCGAAAACATCTTTCCACGCTTTGTCAAGGTGCTACTCTGGCCAAACTATTTACACGATTGCCTTCCATTGAGAAGGGCAAGTCACCACTTGACCTCACACAGAGGACCACCATCTCGCCCTCCCTACAATACATACAATAGAACGCGGAGTCAAGAAAACCGACCGCGTTCTTGGAAAGCTAGAATTCCGAAGGATCGTTTATATACAAGCACTATCGACCATACATAAACATCCAATTCTCTCTTTGAACGAAGACCGACGTTGAATTTTTAATTAAAGCCCCTATGTCAGTGCAACACATAGGTTAACGCCCCATTCTCCCCCTGCATTGCCTCATCAATCGCCTGTCCATGCATATAGTTGATCAAATAAACGTCACCCACGAATCTATACTCTCCTCTCGTGCCTTCCTCTCGCAATAGAACTGGAGTAGAACAACCCAAAGGAACAACAATTATATCTCCAGGTATCACGGCACCACTTCCCATTCCGATCATCCCCTCTTCAGTCCGGAAAAAGCATCGGCCCATCATTTTGGAGCCAAAATGTGACTGGAGAGACTCCCTTCTTTTCGAGGGGTCTGTAGTCATTTCTGAGTATCCCAAAAGCTCATCATTAAGTTGTAAACAAGGCAGCCTTTCACGAAGGAGAGACGCAAACACATGATAACAAAACGCTAACCAATCAGCTGGACTTTCAAACTCCGCTGGGATTTGGCCTAGACTCAAGACATTGCAAAATTCCTCTTGAGCTGATAATTGGACCTCTTTCGATTCATTCTGGATGGCGCCCAAAAGTAGAGCTTTCCAATGGACAAAAGCCATAAGGTAGTCCGCCGATGTACATAGTGTTCCGACTGCAATACCATGAATTCCAATAGTATCAATATAGATCGCGTCAAATTCAATCTTGCTCATCCTCTCGTCGAACTTGTGTTGAGACTTTCGATTTCCTGACGCAGAAATCTTGTACATGTTCCCCATTGCCACAACAGAAGGTATATGGGACCAATCAGGAACATAAGAGGGTAAGTTCTCCGAACTTGTATGAGCTGGGAAATGGATAGCGTCACACATGACATCCAAACTTCCCGTCGTTGTCACCAGGTAATCCACAATCTCAATATAGACATCTTTGACGGAGCGGGAGTCGTCGGGACGAAATTGATCACGAGTTTTGGGTGGTAAGATCCCGAGAATCCCAAATAATTTATCTTGGGGTTTAGAGGCAATTTTGTTGCGGCATGCGCGAAGGACGTCGAGAAGTGAGCCTTCATCGAGGTATTCGATGTCAGAGAGACTGCTGGGTCCTTGGGACGCGAGGACTTGGGAGTAGCTGAATTTGTTCAAGTGAGTATTGCGTCTTTTGTCTCGCCGACCGCCAGGGAAATGGTAATCTAGATCTGCTTTATGTTGTCGGAAGGTATTTGAAGCTTGTTGATGGACTTGCCACGACGTTCTCTTTGATCCGCAATAGACCGCAATGTGTTTTGCGTTGTAAATTTCCTGGACCACCCACAATCACCTCCAGTACTCTCTCTCGAATAGCGAGACTACGGCAGCCACATCGCTCTTTTCCGATTGTGATGATAACAAGCTAGAGATCTCGTCATGGTGATTCGCTTCCTCCGAAATGCGATGAAGCCGACGAAGTAATTTTATCACTGCATCGCTATTATCGTCCTCTGGACCAAGCCAGACGGAAACAAAGTCGGCTCTCGAGTATATCTGGCCCATTAAAGGAATCTGTATGGTTTTCTCATTTGTGTTGTGTTGGTCTATACAAAGAGCGTCTACCCACACTAATACGTCACTTGTCGTTTTACCAACTGCACATAATGCACCATGTAAGTTGACGCCTACAGAAAAAGAGAAAGTATTCAGCACAATCGTGCATGTATCGCTGGCATCGCCCCATGTATAAGATATAGCTGTGTATTGAGGAGGAGAATTTAGGTCCGCGTATAGTATTTCGCATCTGACAGGCTGCTCAGATGTCTTTGATGGAATTTTGATCAGTCTAAATTCCATATCGCGGAGCGGCTTGTACAAAGACTTATCTGGGGACCATGGACGTGTTACCGACTGGGAAATGATCCGTTCCCTCTGCTCTCTCTCCACCAAACTTCTTGTAGGTGGCATGTATGCGGGAGAGCGAGAGTAAGATGTGGGAGGCGATTCCAGAATGTGATGATGAGCCTGATTTTCAGGAAATCCCACTCTGGGATCTCCATAAACAGATATGTCATTGTGATACTCATCCAGAGAAGCTTGAGAGTTATTTATATAGTCTGGATTTAGATGGTGAAGGTGGTTCGCCAACTCTCCCGGTATCAGAGATACATATAATGGGTGGTTGTTAAAGGAGGCAGTTCTTGGATGAGCTAATGGACTGAAGTTCAATGGTGAAAGTTGCTGCGGTTGCAGGATGACTTCAGGACAAGAGTTTAGCGATGGTAATGATGGAACTCAAACCGATCGAACGACCTTTCGGTGAGGAGGTGATGGGACTCGATGGTTGTTGGAATATACAGTTGCAAGTGATTGCTCTCGTTTTCGTTGGCGACTGGTTTTTTTGCGAATTCGATCTTCATTATCAAAAGGAGCCCTAGTAATCTCCGTTTGGTGTACCACAGGTGTTCTCGTACGGTTGTGTGGGCGATTGGGAGCTTGACGGACTGACAGGCGCGCATTAAAATTGGCAACAGAAAGATAGTTCAAAAGGGGTGGTGGTGGCGTAGAACGATTGCCAGAAAGATATTCAAGAGGCGGTGGTGGTGTATCAGAACGATTGCGAGGCATTGCGTATATTGTTTTACCAATAATTGTTGATTGTGATTAGGTGGTTGTGAAATGCATGTAAAAGTTTATTGCAGAACATGGAGGGTGATGTTGTGAGAATGAGATTCTGAGAGGCGCATTTTATGGCCCCCAATAGATAACATCCTGGATTTTGCAACTTCAGAAGTTTCAAAAGAGACGGATACAGTTAGGTCATACATGGAATAACTCGCTTAGACCAAGACAATGCAAAAGTCCCTGCATTTACACATCTATCGCCTTTAGCCTATCGAGAATAGACTATGATTGCAGCCTAGGTCTGGTGTTTTTGACGCCAGGATTGTAAGCGCTCAGACGAAACCATTGGCACTTTCTAATAATTGATTTGCTCTAAACCCACGCAATTCTAGTTATAAAGTAAGCACAGTTGTTGTTCATGATATGATTGGCTGATCAAGAGTAGGAAGTGTGGATAGATACATGAAATTGAGCCGGTCACGTTTTAATAATGCAGATCCTTGATAGGCAATAAAAAGCAGTCTCTTCGTAGACGAGAAAAGTGCAATTATATGCCTACGGTGCTGGTTCTCTAGCCTAACTTTTGCTTTTAATAAAACCCTTAAAAAAATCAAATAAATGATGTGGCTTTTGAAGGTAATCCTTGAATTTAAAAATCCAGATTACTAAAACTACTTTGCTTCTAGTTAGAACAACGAAAAAGAGTATTTCACTTTTATTGTCTATCAAGATAGAACTTCATGAGGAAATTGGCTAACGATGTTATAAAATTCAGAAGTATTTGCTCCGTACTGCAGAGATATCTTTAGTAATATCTTCTTTACCTCCAGATTTGACTGTCCTAGTCCCCGTGGCAGCCACAAGCTACCCCACAGCGGCTTTGGGATCCCTAAGCTTTATTCTTCTCGCAAGTATGCTTATGCAATTTCCACCCAGCAACTTGGTGTTCCTTGCAGCAGTACCAGACTTCGGAGTTTTTGCAGGCACCACACTTCATCAAATTTCCCCCCTTCCCACAGAAGTCGCACCAAGGGTTACTCTCCTTCTCGTTCCATCTCTTCCAAGCACGTTCCGCACATCCTATTTGCCACTCACGTCGCTCCTTCCTACTGGACTTGTAAAGCCCGGGTGGCTTGGAATTGAGAGGCACAATATTCCCGTACAACTTCTTGAAGGATTCAAGATAGTCGGAAGTCTTCCAAGGTAGTAGTTCTCACCATAATCACCCCGTCCAGAATCACCATATTGGAGCCGAGACATATCGACCACTATACCTGGGGATGAGGGGTCGGCACTGAAGGCTAATACAGCATGAGCTTGTTCGTCACGGAAGCCGTTTACGCTGGTTTCTGGGAGGCCGGCGACGACAGTGAGGATTTTTGGGTGTTGTATCTTCAGCTCAATGATAAAGTGATCACTTAGGTCTACCAAATGTGGTGGCTGGGTAAGCAAGTTAGATGTGTGCTGCTTGGTAAAAGCTTTTGTGGATAATTCAGAACGGTCGGCTACGGTCTTACCTCCTTGCCTACTTGGATAGATACTTTTTGTCCTCGCTCACAATGAACAAAGAAGATCTCGTACAGCGCGATCGCTTCCCAACACCCCTCATCACCAAGAAGCCCATAATAGAGACTATCTCGCTGAGCAGATGCGAGAGCTTTGACTTTATCAGAAGCTAGAGGATGGATCTCGCAGGTTGCAGCTAGGAATTCAGAGTTGTTTCTGTGTGTGGGGTCATATGCGACAGTTGACCAAATTGTCTTCCTACTATGCCATCAGCTTATGGATATAATTTGAGGCGATGGAAATGAGTACTTAATAGATGGAGGAGCTCGGTCTATGAGATCCCGACATGCTTTCACCGAAGTCAATTGCTGAATCATCTTTGGATCTGTAACGCTCGACGACATAAGCTTGACACCTTGAAAGCAGGGATCAGACGTTGCTCTCTCGTAGTTGAGGAGAGTTGTCAATTTTCTGAGACCAATCGGCTCCAATTCCTGCGAAGTTCCAATTGAAGTGGACATTTTGAAAGCTGGTTCTTGAAATCCACGAGTCTCTGGTTTTGGTTCTTGGTTGAAGAGTTGTTGGAAAGTGAAGAAAGCAGCTAAGTTGTTGCAAAAAGTCGCAGAACAACTTAAGACATGTTCACGTTGAGTGCCTGGTAGAACGACTTCACCTTTATGCGCGGGGTAAAGAATCAAGACTCGATTTGTTTGCAGAGAATTTGCTAAACGATCCTAAAAGCTGCAGTACTTGTTTCTCCAAAAATGGTCTTTGGCTAACCTTCAACAGGGAATCAATACCTAAAGGACCAGCTTCCAGTAGTGGGTTTGCGCCGTGTGTCGAAAGACTTCTGCCCTACCTGTCTGGAGAAAAATCAATATTCAATTATCTCAAGATATACTAAATGATTACTATTGTCAAATAGTCAGTGTACGCTAACATTGGCGTCCAACTTACACCGGAACTAATTTGGACCAAAGCATACATTGGCTGTCTTGAGGCGGCTTTAATATCAGAATGATTGTTCGATTTAGTATGACCTTCTGACTGTGGATCACTTCAAGTGTCACAATGTTTGAATCTGATTTGCATCCATAAGATGGCACAAAAATCTCATATGGCAACTATCCTGCCAAACTGAAAAACAACGTCTCTAACCGTGAAAGTTATTCCCAGCGAATATATTGGAAGCCACCTATTAATAGGCTGATCAATAGGCTGCTTCTAACTTGTGAAAACCACGAAGTCCACCACGACAGGCCATGCCATAGGGTCTATTTTGGTTTCTTCTCACGTGGTCGAATCCTGATATCGATCCCCGATTGTATTACGAAGAACGAGTTTTGCACTTTCCATTCCTTATTTGGGTTCACAAGCTCCATCTATCAAGAATAATTAGCAAAAGCCAGCTAGCTTATGGACATGATGAGAAGCACTTACATCATACTTCAAGAATAGAGAAGCAATAACCTTGTAGGTTTCAATTTCCGAAAGTTCTTTCCCGATACAAAGTCGCTTTCCGGCTCCGAATGACAAGTCGTTCTGCTTCATTTTATTCAACCGAGCCTGATATTCTTCCTCATTCTCCCTGATATGTCGGGACCATCGGTGGGGGTTGAAGGTATCGGCATCCTGTCCAAAGATTCGCTTATCTCTGTGGGTCACGTATGCGTTCATGCCAACAACAGTACCGGCAGGGAGAAAAGTGCCATTGCTCAGCTCAAGCCCCGGCTCAGGCACAACAAGTTCCAGAAGGAGACCCACACCAGGATGGATACGGCGTGCTTCAAGAATGACAGCCTCGAGATATGGGATCTTTCTCGCAACCGCGAAGCTGACCGTTTCTTCACTGGAGTCGTTACAGTTGTAGAGTGCTTCTTGAAGCATTTCATAAACGTGGGGGTGTTTGAGAACAAAGTAGATGATAGATCGTAGAATGATAGCGGTGGTATCCGAGCCGGCAGTGAGATTAATCATCAAAATGTTGACGATTTTGCCATCGTGCATTTCAGGACCGTACTTCTCCTTCAAGCTCAAGAAATCGTCTAGCATATCACTCGTCTTCTTTGTTTTAACGTCCGCGGAACTTTGCCTTGCCATTAACTCCATATATGCCCATTCACCGACTTTATCCAGACTTCGCGAAGGACCAATAGGCATGATTGGATTCTTTGCAATGAGCCAGTCGATGAATGGTAGTTGACCAGTAACCGAAAGCCAATCCATTGCCCTTTCGGCATTTCCCAACCATCCTGAGTGGTCAGACATGGAATTCAGAAGTCCCATGGAACGACTGAAAGTGATATTGCTCGTCATATCCCAAGCAATGTAGGAAATCCATTCATCAATAGGCACGACCTTTTGCTTGGTTGCATGAGCTGTATCTATGAACTCTTTTTCCAATTGTCGGTAGAAGTTTTGGATGGTCTCGTGTATGAGAGGTTCGAATTTGAGAAGGGCAGAGAGCTTATAGAAGGGTGCGATGCTGGAACGTATTAGGGAATGGATCTCGTTATTTCTTGCGCTGAAAATGTTTGGAAAAATGTTTCTTCCAACTTTCATATCAGCAACTTTGTAGAAATTGGACTAGACCTGTGTTAGCCAAGGCCCCACATGTGTTTTGGGATGACTCGCCTTCAAAAAGACACCCCGAGAATCATAAATAGTACGTAAAACCTCTGGATCAACGATACTGACCAAGTTTGGCCCAAGTCTAACAGCAGGACCATATTTGGCGTGGAGGTGAATATGAGTTAGTTCGGCACGTCCACCAAGGGTATCGAATAGACGCCATAAGTCAGTAAACTTGGCTATGAATGGACCAGGAATGTTCTTGAGGGGAGAATTGATGTATTTGTAGACAGAGTGCGAAAGGTAGAGGGATGCTAAAGCGAGTAGTATAAGCAGAAACGCCATCTTAACGACACATATATATGCTTTCTATTTGCTTTGAAACTGTTGTGTTGTTTTTCGAATGTCGCGTCAAGAACAGGTTAAGTTGTCCTGTGGGGGGTTATAAAGAGAGTGGTCTCGTCTCTGAATAATAGAAAGACACTTATCTTGACTCATGAAACAGCTAGATATATGACAACGCGGGAATGGCCATCAAGGGTCCGCGCCATCATTAGCGAGACTGCCGGGTAGTGGGGGCGGTCCCACCCTTCTCATGAATAACAAAGACGGAAAGTATTTGGTTGGTTACCAAGTACTACGACTGAGTAACTCCACATATTTTGGTTTCACTTGGTAGAGAAATCCATCGTTTAATGGCCGCCTCAAGATGGCCTTGGTGGCGTGTTGGTTTGAGTTCAGCTATTTACTGTGCCAGATTGAATACAGGCGAGGAAGTTGTACTTTACATACAGCGATTATCACATTCCCTGCAGCGGTTAACATAGCATGAAAAGTGCAGAGTTATTGGAAATGCTCCAAACCACAAACCCTTTACGAGAACCTAACTTCAAGACGTGTTGACAAAGATGTTGTTTTTGAAAAGGCACAAGCGAATTTTCGCAAACCTGTTGGTACCAGAAGTTTGCTCTCAGTGGAGATTTCCCATAAGAGGCACCTAGTTTATGCCCTGGCTAACGACTGGAATCTTTCACCCCAGAACATACTGGAGCAATCGAGGACTCTGATGCCCATCGCAAACTAAAAAGCTTTTCCAGAGATTGAGATGTGTCTGGAAGCTGTCTGGTGTGATGGTTACACCAAACAAACATTCCCTAGTGTCGTGGCACAATATGCACTAGATGGGTTCGTATGGTCTCCTGGTTTTGAAGCCACCAACCTGCAAGATACAGTATATGGATTTTTCATGCAAGGACTCGTAAAAGACAACTTTAGAAAGACGATGAACCGTTTGTGCGATTTCTGGTTTCCTCTTCGTTTTCATAGCTGCACAACTTTGATTTCTCAAGATCATCAAGTCATCCTTCTGACAACAATGAAAAGGGGTTGCCTCGCTTACTGGTAAATGACTCGTGTTTCCAAGGGCGCCTTTTCTGGCCTTGAGCAGTAGTGGAGAAGAGACCTTTCCTTGATTTCCTTCTATATGCGAGTAATGTAATTTGAAGAACAAATGCCTAATGCTTAACTCACTATTTTCAGAACAAGCACTTATCAAAAATTTATTATGCCTCTGCTGGTCCTGTTTGATGACTTAACCAATCAAAGAATTAGAGACTAAAATGACGGGTTATGTCATAATCACGTGCCTTGCTGTATCCAATCCCTGCACCAGCCGATAAGAAGAAAAATTCATCGCGATAGAACCTCAAACTAGAACCTCATCACAAGAAACTCCCCGCCTCACGACCACCAACGATGGCAAAAAAGCGCAAGGCAACGGGCCGCAGCAATGGCGCAGAAGAAGCGCCAGGCTTTGAACCCAGAGGTGGAAAAGCTCACGCGATCACAACATACGAAGATGTCGCAGATTCCGAGGACGAATTCCATATCAATCGCGACAAGGTTATGTTAGATGATGGACCGGATGCGAAGAGAAGGCGGAAGTGGGAGGATGAGGGTTAGTAAACTCTGCCGGTACTGGCTTTGGGAATTGAACATTAGCTAATGCGACCACATAGATACAGAACTTGAACCTTCAGATGATGAAGTATTAGCCTACTCTTCCAGCTCCGACGACGACGAAGAACCCGCCCCAAAATCGCTATCGAAAGGTTCAAAAAAAGTAGAATCGGACGAGGAAGGCGAAGGAGGGGAAGAGGAGGAAGAGGAAGCATGGGGAACCTCTCGAAAGGACTACTATAACGCAGATGAAATCCAAACTGAAGCCGATGCTTTGGAGGAAGAAGCAGAAGCTAAACGGACCCAACAGAAGAAACTTCAAAAGATGACGGAGGCAGATTTCGGTTTCGATGAAAGCGAGTGGTTGGACGCAGGAAAGGAAGACGAGGACGATGCAGAGGATGTAGTAACGGAAGTGCTTAAAGATGTGGAAATTACACCAGAAATGAGCGCCGCTGAACGATTGCAAATTTTACGAAGTCGATATCCCGAATTCGAGTTTTTGGCAGACGAATTCGTCACGCTACAACCTGTACTTGTGGAATTACAGAAAGAGATGGATGCCGAAACTATAACTATTGGAGATATATCGCCCATTGTGGTGAAATGTAGAGCATTAGCTGCATACATGGCATCATTAACAATGTATTTCGCAATTCTCTCTTCCACGGCTGGCCGCGCACTTGATCCATCAGAACTTCGCGACCACGCGATAATGGAATCGCTGCTCCAATGCCGAACCCTCTGGTCCAAAGTCATATCGCTCGAGGCAGCTCTTCCAACACCTTCAGAAGCAGCCGAATCCGACTCGGACTCTGCCCCAGAAGAAGAACCTACTCGCCAATCCCCATCCACATCCCCCGAACCAACCCCCCAATTCTCAAAGAAAGCCCGCGCCCTCCACGAAGCAACAGAAGCCTCCCTCGCCTCTCTCTCCTCCCTTCTCCCCTCCAAAAAGTCCTCCAAACCAGCCTCCAAACAACCCACCAAAACCAAATTTGCCAACGACGACTCTTCCTCCGACTTCGGCGAGGAAACCCACCTTTCCACCCGCGACGCTGCCGCAAAAGCTTCCAAGAAGAAATCCCTCAAATTCTACACCTCCCAAATAACTCAGAAATCGCAGAAGCGAGTAGGCGCCGGTCTCTCCGCAGGAGGCGACGAGGACCTACCCTACCGCGAAAGGATGCGTGACAGACAAGCACGTCTGAACGCCGAAGCCGAGAAGCGTGGGAAGATCCTCGACGCCTCAGGACGAGGGAGTGGCAAAGGAGGGAAAGGTATAGAGCTCGACGGCGCAGAAGGAAATGGCGACAACGCCGAAGCAGGAGGAAGAAAGTCCACCGAGGACGACGAATACTACAACCTAATAACCCGCACCTCTACCTCCAAAAAGGCCTCCAAAGCAGCCGCCCTCTCCGCCTCTCACTCCGCCGCCGCCGCACAAGCCCTAGATCGCATCCGCCCCGACGCGGACCTCTCGGAGGACGCCAAACGCGCTATCGGCTACACGATCGAGAAGAACAAGGGTCTCGCGCCGAAGCGGAAGAAGGAGGTGCGAAACCCCCGTGTGAAGAAGAGGATGAAGTTCGAGGAAAAGAAGAAGAAGCTGGGCTCTATGAAGGCGGTGTATAAGGGTGGCGAGGAGAGAGGTGGGTATGGCGGTGAGAAGACGGGTATTAAACCTGGCTTGGTTAAGAGTATCAAACTCTGAGTTGGGGGGCGGGAATGACAATCTGTATATATTTGATTGCCTAATTGCCAAGTCAGAAGTGTGCAAGGGACTAGGTACAATAGTGGATAACGAGAATGTGTATAATGGATTGGTGCAATCGTGAGATCCGATAGAAATGAAAAGTAGAGTCTAAACCACCTTCAGCCACAATCATCGCTCCGCTTTACCCTGCGAAGCTGTGTAAAGGAAATGCACGCTGGCACCGGCGCTCGCTTAACTTGAATTATGTCACGTTCTTGATAGCAAGGTCAAGTCACACAATAGGTAATTTATTTATTCTATTTTTTACTCGTCCCATTCTCTACTGTCTCCACACTTTTTAATTAGCAGAAGTTAAAGCAATCCCAAATGTAACTTGCAAGTTTTGCGTTCTTCCCTCACTGCCGTCTAAATTCTAGATGTGGCAACTACCAGAAGAAGATTGACAACCACTCGTCGGAGAGCAATAGTCAGGCGATGACCCGCAAAAACCAAATTTCGAACAACATGAGCCAAACGGACTGCCTTTGCATGTGACCTCGGAATTGCAACTGCCATCTACGCTCACAATTTGATTCTTCTTTTGGCAACTTCCAAATGCAGCTTGACAACCTTCATCCAAAGAACAATGGGAACCCGTGATTCCACAATAGGAATGAGAAGAACAGCATGAACCATACGCTGAGTTCCAGCAGGTTATGCCCTTACCACAAGATCCGTCAACGCTCGTCTTGAGGGTGGTTTGGGTAGGTGATGGCGCCGGAGCTGGCGGGGGAGGCGGTGGTAGTGGGAGAGTGGATGGAGGAACTCCAGTACATTGGCCATAAAGAGGCTGGCAGCCAGATTCAGTTGAGCAAAAATCAGGTCCATTCCCACACCATGAGTGACCGCTACAACACTTCCCAAAAGCCGATCCTTGGCAAGTTGCCCAAAACCCACAGGTTCCATCCACGCTTGGTTTCAAGTCCGGTGGAGGAGAAGTACTTTCTGGGGGTGGAGGGGGTGGAGGAAGTGGTAGAGATTGTTGTGATCCACACATGCCAAAGTTCTGCTGACAGCCCCGTTCGATTAAACAATAATCAGGTCCTGAGCCACACCATGAATGACTGCTACAGCAAGATCCAAAAGCCGACCCAAAACATGTGGTAGAATTGCCGCATGATCCATCTGCACTTGGTGTCAACTTTGAAGGAGGAGGCGCGTTAATTGACGAAGGCGGAGGAGATTGCTGAGATCCACAAGTTCCAAAATTCTGTTGACAGCCTAGTTCAATCGAGCAGTAATCAGGTCCTGATCCACACCATGAGTAGCTGCTACAGCAAGATCCAAAAGCCGACCCTAGACAAGTTGTTGACTTTCCGCATGACCCGTCTACGCTCGGTGTTAAATTTGATGGAGCAGGCGGAGGTGCAACAACTGAAGGTGCAGGTGGAGATTGAGTTGGAGAAGGTCTATTTAGGTCAGTATCATATGTTTTCCAATTATGCTGGAAGTTTGGATTAAGTAAGCCACTTACTTTCCATTCTCTGCAATAAAGTCGCTACTCCATGCAACAGTTCCTCCCAAGCAATGTTCGTCAGCCCACTTGAGTTTCAACGCGATGGTTTCAGCATCATCATATCCCATCCACTGATCCCCATCGTAAACGATTTCTTTTTGCATAATATCAGGAATCAATTTTGGTGTGAGGTTCTTTTGCTTTATCAAATCTTGAATCTCTTTCAGCGTCAAAATACCATCGCTTTGAGAGCAAGCTCCGCCTCGATTTGGGCCAGAATAAGGGCAATTGATATCGGTACAAGAACGATTTGATAAAGTATATCCGCGTCCATAATATGGTATTCCCAAATTGACCTTTTCAGGTTCCACGCCATCAAACCACAAAGGAATGATATTGGTATTGATATCGACTATTGAAGCCTGGGTTCGAACTTGAGCCCCCAAACGGTTTGCTTCCCAGGATCCGTGAATATCATATGCCATAAAGTTGAAAAAATCGAGACTAGGTTGCATAGCAACTAAATCGAACGTGGAAAGACCATAGAAATCCGTAGGACTATAGAAATGTTAGCGCAAAATGCTCTTCAATAATAGTGTGCGTGCCCTGCAGCTGTTCCACACGTCGATTTGTAATCTGACTTGGTCTCAAAAGTTCAGATTAATCAAAACAATGATTTTCTGGTTTTCTACCATCATCTGAAGGGTATGGTCAGAAGTTCTTACATTGCAATGCTCAATCCAAATTTTCTCCCAAAGACAGCTCGCATCTCTTTCACAAGCGTTACAATATTGGAAAAATCAGCTTGTTTTCCGCCTCGATATGAGAGCGTTGGTGTCTCCCAATCCAGATCTACGCCCTGAAAGCCAAATTTTTCCATAAAATCGCATAGGGATGCGATAAACGCTGCTCTGTTTTCCGGAGTAGATGCCATGTCTGAAAATGTTGTAAATGTTGGGCCAGGATCAGTGAGAGCTGACCCTCCGACCGCAATCCATGTTTGCATGTGACGTGTTTTCAGTGCTGTAAAATCCGTATATAATGGAATATCCGCGTTATCAACTGGAGTGACTTTGAATGTCTTGGGATCAATGAAAAGAAAAGCGAAAACAAGATGGGTAAGTCCTGTGGTATCGATTTGGGAAGGGTATACTTTGTCACATCCGCGATATCTGACGTTTCTAAGAGCGAGTCAGTAATGCAGAAAACTGAATGCTGATTTTCCAATATAATATCATAGAATCGAGGCGTTCGTATACCACTTCTCAACATTTGCTCAAACAATCAATGACAGGGCCAATTGTGTTCGCGAAAGAACAATTTAGATTCCCAACATAGGCGGCGAGATGTGATACATACCCTGATTGCCAATAGGCTACTTTTCTTCCTTTTGAAGCTGAATGTTCTCTTTCTTTGCAAGTTGGAGTTGGGGCGACTTGACAACTTCCGAATCCCTCCTGGCATGGAAAGGTGATATTTGGCTCCCCAGGTTTGTGATCTACAGCCACTGTGCCCTGACAGAAAACACTGGAAGTCCCGCAATAACCAAAGTAGGAGCAACAAATTTGAAGTGGACACTTTTGGGATCCATTGAGAGAGTCAACGCCACACATTGCATGCGCATCGCAGTTTGAGATGCATCTAGTTGCAGCTGTTTTCGTGCAATGATAGGGCGTAAAGCCACACTTTCCTTCCTATTTGACATAGGCTATGAGCTTCTGATCAACAGATGGAGGTATCTAAGCTTACACTATTGCAGCAACTGCCATCAACGCATGGTGTTGTGGGGCTACACGCAGCAGGAGATTCTCGCTGGTGTAAAGGAAGAAATCGTGAAAATCCAACACTAGGGTGTCGATGGTCGTTTTTGAAGGCCTCAGTCGCAGCCTGGGTCATATTGTCTCCGATCTGGCTGATGATGTGGTTGAGACCGATCTCCAAGATCGGTAGAGATGGTTGGCGAGCAACATTCTGTTGGACAATGGAGTTTGGAATTGCTCCAAGTTTCTTTTGCGGGACAGGTGAAGAAGTGTTGAAAGGGACGGCCAGGGAAGAGACGGGAATGACAATAGATGTCAAAAGAATGGACGATGAGAAGTACATCATAGGAAGATATTAGGAAGAGGTCGACGTCGAAAGATGAAGGCGGAATTGAAGAGAAAGGAAGCAGGTTGCGAGAGAAAAGTGAAGTTGTGTGAGATCAAGTTTTTCTGAGGCGAGAAATCAATATTTCTCTTTACTCTTTTGGGAAGGAAGGACCGACTTTGGTTCTTGCCCTCACCTACGCCATTGCCTCAAGTCTTTTTCAGGCTAGACCCACCCACGAGACAAAGAATAGAGTAAAGCAATCTGCAGGTAATTTCAAACCACAAGAATCTGCATCTATACCAGTCTAGACTCGGAAAAAAAACACATTTATGTGTTCATAAGGAAGGTGCATTCACTGCATTCAACTCTATAAACATGAAAGAATCTGAGCACCGCCTCAGATTGAAATTCCCCAATGTTTTGTGAACAGGCACGAGCCTTCATTTCAATTAAGCTGAGGTTCACTTGAACGTGATGGATATCGCGAAAATATACAATCGCGGGTTTTTGACGAGTGGAAAAATTGGCCAAAGCGGTGAAAGGTGGCAGAAGTCCACGGGCCTTATTAGGAAAAAGATCAACAAGCGAGAGACTAGGGTAGGTACCACCCCACCTGCAGCACTAGCAGTAAATAACACCTGCAAACTCCCTATCGGTAATCTAAGCATAAGTACAACACAATCAACCCATCCCATAATATTTCCTAAGAAAAAATCGTTTTTACTGATGATAAAATATTACCCTAACAATTGAACACTTCTATATGCCTGAATAGGGAATCAATTAGCAGAAGGTAGCTTTTTTCTGTAATGCTAAGTAACCTAACTTAACAGTTCTCACGACTTCAAATTCTTGAAGCGCCTACAAGTTTTGAGTAAAGAGGCATAAAGGGGAACAGCGCTTCAACTTGCTTGAATTCAGAGATAAAAGCTAAAAGTGAAGAAGTCACTTCAGGTGCGTGCCTATGTAACCCAACAATACATTAATGTAAACTAACTATGAGACAAGATACCCTAGGTTTCTCCACGCATACATTGAGTTGATAAGCGAGTCTCAACTCTGATACATCTGGACATAGGAATATCACCATCTTAACATACTCGCATGAACACCCTTTGATTCAAGTTGGAATTCATGAAAGATGTATTCCTATTCCTACGGAAGACAAGCAATAAACCCTACTAACGACCGATAACCAAAAATCCCCCATCTCTCCCATTCCACCAACGAAATTTCCTCCTGCAACCTCACCCCAAGTCAACAAAAACATACCAGTGCAACAAAACGCAAGACCGATGAAAAAAACACAACACACCCCCTCCTTACTCCATCCCCTCACCACAAAGCATACTTCCTCAAGCTCTCAAACTCTCAAACTCCACCCATCACCAATCCCTCAAACAAACTTAACAGCATTCGGCCCCTGATCCTCAAACTTACTCGCCGAATTCGGATGCGAATACCCAAAGAAAGCCGCATAACTCAAGGGCGCATTCTTAACCGTCACAACCGCAAAGTCGCCCTTGTAATCCCATCCCCAAGAGATCTTCCAGGTATTAGGATTCTATCACCTCTTATTAGCCCTCATCTCCCTACCTTTCCTTTCCCCCTCCACCACCACCAACCCCCTCCCCAAAAAAAACAATCAAAAAGAAACAACACAAAACTCACCTCAATACACCCAACATCATACCAAGCATGCTCATCTGCCTTCTCATCCGTCGCCTTCACCGTATCCACAACCGAGCAAGGCTGGCTCCCAAACGGCGCGTAGTTGATCATAAAGTTGTAGTTGCATGTCTCGGGCTTGGTACAGTCCCTGGTGAAGTTTTGGAGCGTGATACCCGTCGGGATGGTGGTTGGGTGGAGCTCGTGGGGTGTTGGTGGTGCTGGGAGGGGATTGGCGCCGATGAGGAGGGGGAGGACGAGAGAGAGGAAGGTGGTTGGGATGTGCATTTTGGTTTTGTGAGGGTGAGATGGGTGGTTTGAATAAAGATGAGTGAGTAAGTAATGGAAGTAATGGAGTAAAGTGTTGATAATCTGAATAAAATGATCCAAAGACTTGACTTGAAGAAAGGATCCATTCGAGCAGGAAGCCAGCACTCTTATATACCCCAAAAGCCCCTACCAAACCGTATGTTTAACGTTCACTCGTGCCTTCCCATCATCTCACATCCCATCACATCACATCACATCTCAACTCCACTCATCGCACCTTCCTCCAGACTCCATACCACCTCGTATCCACCCCTCCCACCTCATGACGTCCCTCTCACGCGCCACAAAGCAGGAACCCTTCTCTCATCCCGGAAATCCGGGGTAGGTACGTACGCAGGCACGTATTTACCCTCCGTCACACTCGGTGGTCGACGCTCATCATGACAAGATTCATACGGGACGGTAGGTAACCTTTAACATGACCTAGGTATCGCACACAGTACAGACCAACGTGAACACTCTTTTCCAAGAAGAGAATCAGATCTGGTATGCTTCCCCTTGTACTGTAAGATACAATCTATACACAACACCTCTCAACCCCAATTGCGGGATAAGGAGAATAAAAACAGAACCACAACCACAAAATCCAGCATATCTAAAAGGAACTTTTTAAAAAAAATACCGGCACTCGTATCTACCCACCATCCCTCACATCTCCATTCATCTCAACGGTGCCTCCCCTCCCCCTTCCCCTCTCGTCCCACAATTCCACAAATTACCTCACAAATACCACTCCAACCGCGTGTCGGCGTGACAAGGTACCGTTCTGTACTTTAGACCAACCTGTCCGTACCATGTACCCGTGAAGGTCAGAGATGCAATCGAATCGAATACGAGGCGAGACGAGTACCAAAATGAGAGGAGATTAGGAAAACAGATGATCAGATCTCTAAAAGAGGCGAGCAAGAAAAGGCTCGATGTAAAGATACAAAAGAATAGAAAGGATTGATGAACCACCCAGACATTAGAACATGGGATGGATCATTGGAATGTAGTTGGTAGGTAGGTATCTGGTTCAACACAAAGAAGATTTAATTCTTCAAGGGACGTCGGAGTCTGCTTGATCTCACAAAGACCAAATGCGGGGTAATCATCGTACAGTACCTGTACTTGTACTCGAGACGAAGTAGATGTGACCCGCCAAGCCCTGACGATCCCTCAACTTCAAGGCAGTTAGTTCGTTGATGAAAGAGACAGATAATGTAAGCACTAAATTCTGACAAGGCATGTATGTATCTCATATCCAAAAAAAAGAATCATTTGATGAAAGCAAACTTACCAATTCTAGCAAAAGAATCCCTCAACGTTCTTTCTGCACCAATCCACCAACTATCACGAGCGACTAACATGGAAACAAAACCAAGAAAACTGTCAAAAACTTATCAAATTTCCTGGTAGTGTAAAGGAGTCTTACGATCTCGCAATTTCGAGCCGAGCATGGACTTGACGAATTGCAATCTCCCTTTCAAAATCCAAGCCAAGAACCTTCATATCTCCAAAATTCAAAATCCACTCCCCATCACTTCCAACCAGACACATAAGATGACACATCCCCAAGGCCCAAGAGCGCCTCTATGCAAATTAAAAGCAGATCACCCCAACGCCCCTTCTGATGCCCCAATTCCAAGATTACCCAACCTCTAAAAAGGCTCCTGGTATCATTTTCAAACCCCAATTCCAATCTAACAAAAGAAAAGGGTTTCCCTTGAAACGCCGTTGGGTATCATATCTTTTTAAAAACAATCCAAAATCCCCAAAAATGCCGCTAAAATCGTGTCAAAGAAACCCGCATTACGTGTATCTATGCCCGGTCACTCAATTATGTATTTGTTGCTTGTTGCTGAATAGGTTCGTTTTCGTTGTGGCGTACCGTGTTTTTTCTTCCGGGAAGTAGCCGGCATTCCCACGAATGTAGCATCATCGTCATCCTCGAAATCATCAAACCTATCATGACCCACTGTGACAACCTTCACCACGTTCCCGAGCGCGACAGCTATAGTCTTCCTTCCGACTATCTCCATGGGGCCGAGTCCACTGACAAGCAGATGCTCAAAACCGTGTAGTCCGTCTGAAAGCGGTGTGGTTGACCGATCACCTTTAGCACTGATACTCCATGCCTCCCACACATCATCCTCTACATCTGGCTCTTTGTTAGAAAAGATCCCTCGAGGAGCTCCTCGACGACGAAGTCTAGGGCTAGAAGTCAACGCTAAATCGATACCAGTGGTCTTCTTAGTCTCCGCAGCAGACTCTCGCTTGCGAACGCCAACAACATATCCAATTGGCAGTGTTCGCCATTCTCCTGGATTCTCAATGAGAAATCGGTTTTCAACCGTTTCCCGCCAAAGGCAACAGGTCTTGCTGCCAGGAGTCCATGGATCGCGAAAGCAGATAGTATCACCCTCGCGCTGTGGAAGGTATGATTGCAAGATGCACGATCCAGTTTCGGCATCGGTATAAGCTAGAGCCAAGGATGCCAGACCGACAGATCCACATTGAGGTCTTCTTCGAGTCGAGTGAAAGCAACGGAGGGATTCGGGTTTCATCTGCTTCGTTTCAAATGTATGCGTAACACGGTGAGTGAAGATGTCGATGAGGTCAATCGTGTGATCTCTGACAGCGAGAAAAGAACTTAACACAGGAAGCGGAAGAACAGAACGGATTTCCCTATCGTCCCTTATCTCCCGTATGTCAAGCCCTTCTGAGGTCCACCCAGTCTCAAGGAGCGATGCCACATGAACACAGCCCTTCTTTGACGAAGTTATAATACGAAGTGGGGGATTTGGGTATTGAGGTGTAGGTTTCTCAAAGTGCGGTCGCACACAAACAAGCGGGCTATGACAGACTCGGAGATCTTTGCTCTCGTTGGCCTCCATGTTCAATTCAGTCATCATGCCGTTATGCCTAATAATAAGCACGAGGTCGATTACCCCTGTTTTGCTGTGACCAAAGCCAAATGATGCTGGAGTTCGCCCTTTAACATCAACTGACATCTCAGGACCCCATCTCTTTTCAGGTATGTTCCATAAAAGTACCTGGTTTTTAGCAGACAGAATCGCCATCCATTTGGAGTGTCTATCGATTGCCAAGGCTAGGACTGGGAAAGGATTCTTGGAGCTGTGGTGGTAGACAAAACTAAAATCTTTATTTCGTATATCCCACACTCTAATGCGACGATCCAGTCCGACAGTCACAATTATGCCGTCGTTGGATGTTTTGATAAGCGCGATATCAAGAGAATGCCCATGACTTAGAGTTTTCACAGAAATAAGAGGATCATCGTCTGGCCTATCCTCATAGTTAACCTCGGGCGATTCGTCCCAAAGGAGGTAATGCATCAGAAGCGCGACTGCAGCACAGAGCACAAGAACAAACGCAAATAGGGTTCCAAACTGGTTTTTCGCAAAGTCGTATGCGGCGGGAAGAAAGGGTCGAACACCTGATCGGTTAGGTGTTCTATCAGAGCCATTCATAACAAACACAATTGGGTCATAGACGCGGGCAATGTATCGACTCGCGTGGGGTTTGATGACTTTGATAACTTCATGGGCTGTTTCATGGTCTTGCATACGCAACCATGCCGTAGGAGTTCTCGCTTGATGAATATCAACTGACAGAAGTGATACACTGCTAGGTGGCGGGCTAGATACATCCTGATTAGTTAAGTTCTTCTCTGCTCAAACGAAGAATAGATTGTAGTGACTGCTGCTCGGAATAATCGGGAACGTATGCCGTGACCAAAGAGCAAGTCAAGACATCAAGAGCTCGATTGTAGTGAAAGAGACGCACCTTTGACTATGAGATATCATTGATCGCAACACTTGCTTCGTAGTCTCATACAGAGAGCCATCGACGAAATGCGAATCCAGAATGAATACTGTTCCTACCATAACAACTGTCCCTGCTAGTCGGGTTGATGCTGGAGCTTCGCCATTTAGGATAGTATCCCACCAAGTCTTTTTTGGCTGCCTGTTTGGTGGAAAATGATCGTTCTGTACAGAAATCCGGTTCAAAGAATCACTAAGTTCGGTTCTTCGTACATCAATGCTCAGAACAGCTGTGAAGAAAGTTAAAAGAAAGAAATAGTCCAGGATCAAAGCCAGAACCAGAAATGTGATGAAGCCGGCTGCCGGCGGATATACCGCTGTAGAAAGTATCCACAATATCCCAATATTCTGTGCAAGACTGGTCAGCGGGATATGTCCTTTCTTACCCAATGCCTCGCCAATTCTGAACGAAGTGGGGCGGTCGGAAGGTGTCATGATGACATTATCAATGTATTTACAGATGTTTTGCGAACCTAAATAAAAGATGACCAAAGTGTAGTACTCTCTAGGTATCTTGGACAGATCAATCTTCAAGATGGCGCATATCGTGAAAGATGACATGGTGGAGACTGCTAGTTGTACCAGGGTTGCAGTGATAAGGCCGGCTCGAGAGTTTAGCGCTCGCACCTTTCTCACATTCTTGTAATAATAAGCCAAAGAAATGATGAGAAGGATCGCCAAGAGTACATCGTCGCCTAAGGACAGTGGTTGGAATCGAAATTCATAGAGGGTGCTTGCGTGCGATTTGGGATCGGGCGGGATTATCCGCCATTGGTCAGACCCTCTTTGAGCAATCTCTTGAGCCTTTTTTTCCCACAGTCTCCCTACGGGCGAGTCGAGCATATGTACCAGTGTGATTACCAATGCATCCGCAGCTACTAGTCGTCGATCCTCGAATCTTTTGCCGCTGAAAACAATCGAGTGACGTAGAGTGACATTAACCGAGGTGGATTGACTCGAACGGTTGTTCACGGTTTGTATGATCTCATGGTCCGATGCAATATTCTCCTTGGAACATCCCCAATACTGGAGGGGGGAGTGAAAAAACCAGCTGGAATTACTCAAGCCGTTGATCGCATGAAAGCTATCTCGCATTTCGGTCGTTAGGTCTTGGTCCATTGCATCCACAGCGAGCTGTTGCCCAATTGACGTTCTTCGGGGATTAAAGTCGAGGGTGGAACCGAGTATCTCATTTTGTATTTCCAGGGCTGTTTGAAGGACGTCCGGCTCCAAAGCCTTCATATAACTCCCTAAATCAAGTCAACAAATGTACACCAGCTTATCTGACGGTATCCATACCATGGATCCATAAAGAGCGCATTACAACATCCGGTCGTGTATGGCTATCTCCATCAAAGGGTTGAGCTGAGGTCCAGACATGATTGGGCAAACTGGAGGCGCCATTGGCGAATTTGCTGGTGTAAAGGAAAGGGATTGGATAGATGAGGACTGAGGCCACTGCGAGGGATATGAGGAGCGTTATTATGGGATGCCTCGCGACTCGAGTGCCGTAAGACGTGAGACCACTTCGAATGGGATGTTTGGCATTGAGCTTTGGGGGCTCGGTCGTCCTGCAGATAGATTAATACTGCACTCTAAGAGGCATTGGGGAGCTAGACATACCCTCTAAACGGGTACAATAAGTACCAGATCATCGAGGCTGGTTCTTTGGTAACCTTTTCAGCTTCGAGAAGTAGAGCTGCTCCAAAGACGACCACTATTCCGAGTCAGTCACAGCTCTCTCGAGAGGTATTATTCTGAAGATATGCGAGATCCGAGGCTCGCGATGGGAGATGGCGGCGGCGAGAGTTGACCGCGCCGATTATGTAGTTGAGTCGTGGTAATTCAATTGGGGATGGCTCTCCATGGGGATCATCGTTGGTGCTACGGATAGGAATTCGAGGCTTGCCTCATTCGGGGAATCTCCAAAGTCTGGTGTCTCGCAGGTAGCGAGAGTATGTGCAACGAGGACGACGTAGAAATGGAAAGGTGGGGAGTGCGGCAGAGAGGAGTTCGAAGATGAGGAGGGATCGCGTGAAGGGCAGAGCGAGGGCAACGGAATGGGCAATGGAATTGTGCAATGGGCGCTAAGAGCAGTGGGAGGGGGAGTGGTGGCTGGTGCTGGTAGCGACAGGCGCAGATTGGAGAGAGAGAGAGTTGGTGCGGTGGTGATTTTGGGCGTTGGGTTTGTGAAGCTTCGAGGTCGTCTCCAGGCACACCTTGTTGCCGAAAAGGTGAAAATCGGTACAGGGAGGGAGCGGTGGTCCGCAACAAAGGCTTTGTCAGCTACCGTCCGTGATACCACCGAACACACTCGAGGACTCGACGAAGACTCGACGAAGACTTGACGAAGACTTTCCCACTCACTCGCTTCCTATGCCCGCACGCTTCAACACCAGACAAACACCGTATCCTCTCCTTTCTGCCCAAGATAGCGATGGCGATGACGGCGACGGCGACAGCGATCGTACGCACTGCACTCTACGGCAGGAGGTGGTAGATTCGGATCCGCTCCTGGAAGGGCCGCGCGGGAAGTATATGGAAGGCCCGAGCAGTTCCTACGTCGCACCGGTACGGCAGTTTCCAATGGCACAAAAAAGCACAACACGACGAATCTCAATGGGCGATTGCACGGCGGAGGTCCAGGCGATTGGGAATGTTTGGTTGCACGACCAGCGGGCGGCAGAAGAGGCACAGGAGGCTTTCTTTGGGTGGTGACGATGATGGATGCCAAAGACATGAAAGGGGCAGAGAGAGATGGTTCGGATGGGTATCACGCAAACATCTTGGTGAACAAGAGATCGAGAACTTAGTAAAGTACTACTTACAGGCGTCCAGCAGCCTCTGCATCTCCACTTCTCCCAACATGGCTGCCATTGCAAGCAGGCTCTCCATGCTGGAGCGAATCATATTGCGTTTCCAGCAGCTAGAAATGGATCCTTGAAAGCGGAGCCGATGCCTTCCCCTACAAATAGGCCATGGGCCATGGCACGATGCAGATTCGTCGTGGGCGAGCGAGCGGCAGCTGAAAAGAAAGAGGGCAGAATTCCAGAAAGAAGAAGCAAAGAGAGCAACCGTTTCCTCCGCGCGCGTCGTCCCTCATCTCTTCTATATACTCGTCCAGATTGACTCGTAGACCATTCCTTTGCTCTTCCAACGAATTGCAACATCAGATGCTTTCTCGTCCGTTGTGACGCGAGGATCACCCCATTTTTTCGGCAATAAGACCGACCGAGTCCTTGACAGCAGGACCCTGGGAAGGCTTGGATGATGGGAGACGAATGGGAAAGAGCCTAATTTGACATTGTCAGCGGGACACCGGGAGCTTACAGAGTAGGTACCTGGGGTTTGTCCATGACAGCGGTACGTGGCGTCAGCAGCGGGGTAGCTAGAACGGGAGCTAAGGGTCGTGGAGGGGTTCAGATCCTCCTAGATACTCGAGTAGAATACCAAGTACTTTGACATAAATGAATATCTTGTTTCAACAGCTATGAATATTTACCCTTTCACCACCCTTCTGTTCCCATTTATCGTTTAACTCGGTTGACCCCTTTTTGGTTGCCACTATGATGCTTCGTCTATTGTTGTATGATTACCTTGTACCCCTGACTACTTTAACTCACCAAGTACTTATGTATCGTCACAATCTGTATTGTGCTTATTCTACTTTCTCCAAATTCTTTATTTGCTTCTCGTGCATTTCCATGATTGCCAACTGTCTTCATCAGTCAAATTTTGTCGCTTGTGGCTGTTTGTTTATTTCTCTCTTGGCCCCCTTTTTTAACTAGCCCTTTGTCGCTTACTGCGATCCATCTCCTGACTTCCCCCCCTTTACTGCTGCTTTTGGTGTACTATTGGTACATACCTCAGCCACTTTCTGATGGATGCAACCCCCCTTTCCAATTACCCTTTTATCGCTTACCACCATCAGTCTCCTGACCCTCCCCCCTTTACTGCTGCGATATGTTTACTATTGGTTCACACCTCAGCCACATTCCGACGGTCTCGGCAACCCCGTTTTGAGCCCTCTTGCTTGTCGCTTAGTACTATTCATTTCCTCTTCCGCTGATTTCTTGGCATGCCTCCCTCTTTCATCAGTTCTCGCTTGTTGTAGTTTGTTATTCGTCGCTGACGTTACTGACTATGGTAGCCATCGTAGGTTATTATCCCTTCATGCCGCCCGTTCTCAAACTACCACTCTCGTATCATTTGTTTGGTATCATCCACTGCGCTTCTCACTTCGGCTTCTAACTTGTGGGGAGCAAAGGTTGGTGATGTGAACTTACTCTCTTCTGATGAGGTAGCGGGACTAGTATTCTAATAAGTAAGGTGGTTCTGATACCAGATTACTGCAACAAACTGTCACCCCTGTGCTTATAACGACTACACCTACGATTACTAGGGACAGTGTATTAAGACATCTTTCATATCAACTAAAAAAGATGTCTGACTCAAATACCCCAGTTCTTTATTCCGCTCACAGGCTGTTAGATTTTTTACCAGCCTTGCTAGACCGTAATGTGAATATAAACACGTTACACATGGATAAAATTATACCTTCTCATTGATGCACATAAAACATGTAGCCAAGATCTTAATAAGGTTGTGAAAGTAAGGTTGCAGAGTTACGGTATCCTTCCTCATCTTTTTCTTGCACAGTATGGACGTTTTCTGTATCTGGAGTCTCGTGAATGGGGTGAAATGATAGAATTTTGTTGACATTTACCAGAGTATGTACGCTGGTACAAGTTCTGTACTTGTTCTAAATCCCTAGAAGTACAAGAACTTTTTATAAACATTTCACGGTGTTTTTAGAGTAATTACTAGATCTTTTATAAAAGAAGATATGAAGTATCTTTAGCACAGAAGCAGCTGTAGATAGATACGAACGGAGAACTTTTTACGTTCATTGTACGAGATACGAAGCTCCTTTGCTGCTCCGTATGATCAGGAAGAATGAGGAAGGCACCTCACTAGAACAGATATACTGGTCTTGGTGTTGCAACTTTTCTAGTTCACAGCATGATCCTCGTTTCCAACAACTTGACACAAATGTGTGCGCACTTGTCTCCTGTTATATGGCAGGATTTATAGTGAATGAGGATGAAGGCTTAGTAAGCTACTCACATGGTGGGATATATCCCACCCCACTACTGCCACATGCCTTCAACACCACCACAATATCCACCATATCGTCAGCTACACTTTTGTCCCACCCACATTCCCCTCGCTGAAAGGCTCACCTGGCGATTTGGGAGGGTTTTGGACCGAGTTATGCCCCCAAAAGGGGTGCGTTTTTTGTACTTCTTTGCCTACCTGGCCGAAGTTACCGCCCTGCGCTATACTTTGTATTTCACCAGATAGAGCCTTTGAATTGGTCTATGATGTGGTCGAAGTCCGAGCACTGGGTGTTTTTGTCTCACCCACATTCCCCTCGCTAGAAGGCTCGCCTTGCGATTTAGGAGGGTTTTGGACCCTAGCTTAGAGGTTGCTTTGTGCCTTGCTTTCCACAAATCGAGCCTTCTGATTGGCTAGCATATGCCAACTGGAATTAGGAGTGGTTCTCGTATGTGGGCAAGGTAAGCACTTGAAGTAGTTAGTTAAACTGCCCCCCCAAGGGGTGCGTAGCCGAGGGTGCTTATACTTCGCTTTCCACTTATATATGTGGGCGAATTATAAGCACTTGAAGCTAGCCAGCAATACAAAAGAAAACCAACAATCAGCCTCATTTGATGTGACGTGTACCGACTGACGATTGAACATAAAGCCTTGTTTATCTTTCTAGGGAGATATCACTTGTTAAGGTGTCATGGGAAGTATTACACGAAATTTTCTATCGTTTCAGACGTGAGCACTTGTTGAAAAGGCCCTTGTTCATACTTGAAACTCTGAGAGAGAAAGCCGTCTGATGGACCTTGGTTTTGCCCTTCATTTATTGATCAAGGCGAGTTATATGAGTGTGACATTTCTCAAATTTAAGGACGTTTCTAACTTTATGCCTCCTGAACTTATTACTGTCCTCTTAGGTTGCTTTCTGTTCTAATGGAAGAGAACCTTCACCCAGGGCCGATGAAGTACAAGGCTATCAAGCGCGTACATACATTGCTTACATTTATCCATATAGGTAGAAATACTATTAATTGGGGGGGACCTACGGATGTTTCCAGAAAAGCTTCGTCGCACAATATTAGCTGCATCATAACCACTACAATTCCAACAATTCCTCTTTCAAGATTATAACTCTCAATAATCAATATGTCAATTCGGATACCAATCATCTGGAACTAACACTGTTATACATCCAGTATATCTGAATTTCCTTCCATTGTCTCTCTGTCGTCCTCTCATTGGTCCAAGTAATCACCTTTTTGGCAATTTGCAGAAACGGACCGCACTCCGGCAATATTCACCTTTCCTTGGTTCGATTTTACCCTCGCGAGTTATCTTTGGTTCTTGTGTCATCACGCGGGGAGACAATTAATATATCGCAGTCCTGCTCATATATCGTTACCGCATGACTGAACTGTGGGGAACAGATCTGGGGAAGAAACTCGGGGTATAAAGTCGCACGAAGGAGACTTCTTGAATTCTACTTGTCTCAACCTCTTGAACATCCAGTCTGTTTTTTGTTGTCGAGATTTATCATGCATATCACCTCTGTTTTCACTGCTGCGGCTCTGCTTGTAGCCCAGGCTTCGGCTCATGGTGCGGTGACTAGCTATGTGATAGATGGGAAGACATACCCTGGGTACACTCATTCTCCCCTGCATCCACAGCTTTTCTAAACAATCTAACAAGAGGATTTTGACAGATACACCGGTTTCTCCCCTTCCTCATCCCCGGACTCAATCCAACGCCAATGGCCGGACTACAACCCAACAATGACAGTAACCGACAAAAAGGTCCTATGTAACGGCGGTACCTCCGCCAAACTCACGGCCTCCATCGCAGCAGGTTCGTCCATAACCGCCAAATGGTCACAATGGACACATGAACAAGGACCCGTGATGGTCTGGCTCTTCAAATGCGCGGGAGACTTCGCTTCCTGCTCAGGCTCTGGGAAGGGCTGGTTCAAAATTGACCAAATGGGCATGACTGCCCCTCCACTAACGGGAAAGAGTTGGGGGACTGCAAAGGTTTTAAAGGATTTGGCGTGGACTAGTAAGATTCCGGCGAAGTTGACACCGGGGAATTATCTGATTCGACATGAGTTGCTTGCGTTGCATCAGAGTAATACACCGCAGTTCTATGCGGAGTGGTGAGTTTTATGTTCTTTATTGAGGTTGCTAGGTTACCGTTTGGCAGGCACTTAAGTCTCTCTTATTATCCCAAAGTTAGGATGGCGGACGGGGAATCTCTCTTGAAATTTGACTTCCATACGAGTCTGTGATGCTGACTTTGAGATCTTCTAGTGCCCAAATTGTCGTTACGGGAAGTGGAACGGAGAATCCAAGTGCCGAGTTCCTGGCTACTATTCCTGGCTACGCTTCACAAAACGACCCTGGCATCATGGTATGTTTTGCGGGGATTTTCTATCACTGCTGTTTTTGGCACAAGCGTTTTTGCTGATTTGAGGGTTTCCTCTAGATTGATATTTACTCAAGTAAAGCTACTACATATACCCCTCCTGGTCCAGCAGTTTGGGGGGCTTGAACGTACTGTACACCTTTTTCACTAGATAGTCCATGGATGGCAAGGGGATTATTTGAAAGAGATGGTTGGGAGCTGTGAAGGAGGTGTTACGTGCCTAGGCATTATTCCGACCGGTCCGACAGCTCAACTAGGAAATCGTAAACCTAAAAATCCAAATATACATATGCCGCGTCTAGGAGATAGAGTTATAACTCATTTGTACTATGTTGTCAGGTGGAAATGATGCCTTTAATTTGTAATTATTGTGAATCAAAACTTGATACTCTACTGATATCTACTTCCATGCAGAAGGGCATATATCCTACTGGTGTACATCCCTTGGTGCTGTGGTAGCATGGATTACACTTTAATGTAGGCCGCTGATGTTACGCAAAAACATTACATAAGTCGACAAGATAGATCTTGCCAGACTAGTCGCCGGTTGGTAAATACTATGGTTTATTTAGAGAGTTTTATCACGTAGGCGACTTTTTACTTTCATTCTGGCTGCGAATTTTGCTTGTTGGATGATTCAGGAGCGAGGTATGTGAGTAGTAATTCTGCAGCCACAGTTTGCTAACGTGTTAAAAGAAGATGATCATGATCATGATCCTTGGGAATGGATATAAGATTTAGTAGAGTTCGTTGCACGGATTATTCAAGAGCCAGGATTGATGACGGCCTGTATTTCGAATTGCAATATACCAAAGAATAATAACAGAAACGTTGAGGGTACTACTGACAGAAAAGTGAAGAAGTGAGAGAGGAGCAGTATTCCAGATTGTTAAAAAGTGAACTTCAATTCAAATGCCATCACATAAAAACAGTTTATCCAAATTTCCATATAGCTGGCGTAGTCTGATATATAGTACTCGTCACCGTGAACACAACTCACTTGCATATTGCCTTTTTACTGGTTTCTCACACCTGAAAACCTTTTATGAGGACTTCTTGCCGACAAAAAGAAGCTTGAAACTCTTGCAGGGAAGATCTACAGATGAGTGTGAATAATGTTGTAAAAACAAATTAGTGAATGTGTACCAGTCACACCACTCACTTACCGCCCACGCAGCCTTACTGCCAAATATTTCAATTGAGACTGTTTGAGTAGCCTTGTCATGTACATTTCATCTATGCAGTCGTCTTCACGGCTTGACCCCCCAAACATTCTCACCAATTTACAAGATGGGGGACATTACACCTTCTGTTCTGCACACGCCCTCACTTCCTGTCCAAAACGCAACAATTCCTTTCTGGCGAATCGCCCCAGATGAGTTGGACACACATCGCACCACAGAGAGTATTCCATCAGAATGTGATATCCTGATCATTGGGGGTGGCTACGCGGGTATCTCGGCTGCTTATCACCTCCTCGCTTCTGAAAAGGCGAAGTCGCGCAAAGATCTGGATAGCCTGAAGGTCATCTTGGTCGAAGCGCGAGGGGCTTGCTCTGGCGCGACTGGAAGAAATGGTAGCGTTATTTTGTCTAAGGTCACGCGCTCGCACTCGCTTACTTCCATCCAGGTGGACATATACGACCCTCTGTTTATACTCGTCTTCCATCGCTGATCAAATTTTACGGCGAAGAGGCCGCTGCCGAGCTTTGCGCTTTTGAGGATGATCATGTGCAAGCCATTGCCGAACTTGCCAAGAAGGAGGGAATTGATTGTGACTTCGTCGTTACGCGTTCTTTTGACATCCATACCAATTGCGACGATGCCAATGCCGCCAAGAAGACTTTTGAGAAGATGAAGAAGAAGGGGGTCGCGGTGAGCACTTTGGATACATTGTAATGGACTGATGAGAAAGATGCCGAAAAGGTGAGGTCTTCTATTGTTAAGTTGAATCGAAGTATTTACTGACTGACCATGACAAGGTCTCTCAGGTCAAAGGCTGCGGTGGTTGCTTCTCTTTCCCAGCTGCACAGGTTTCACCTTATAAACTGATGATGGGGCTCCTTAAGATTGCCAACGATACAGGAAAGCTCAACATCCAAACGAACACCCCCGTTACAGCCCTTGAGTCGTCCCAGGAACATTCCGAGAAATGGACAGCACATACCCCACGTGGTCCCATCACTGCTAAAAATATCATCATGGCCACCAATCGCTATACAGCATCTCTCCTTCCAGAATACAAAGGCAAAATTGCCCCTTGCCGAGGGATTTGCTGCCATATTACCATACCAGAAGGGATCAAGGCACCAGACATGACCGATAATTACTGCCTGCGTCTCCCCAAAGGTTCCCATGACTATCTCACTTCTCGCCCAGACGGCTCGATTGTTGTAGGTGGTGTACGTGCGGATTTCCTCCCTCTTAGGGACGAATGGTACAACAATATTGACGATTCAAAGCTTATTGAGACGGCAAAAAGCTACTTCGATGCCTATATGCAAGACCATTTCATCGGATGGGAGAATACGGGGGCAAGAGTTGAGAGTATCTGGACTGGAATCATGGGATATAATGCCGATGGCGTTCCTAGCGTCGGAGCAGTTCCAGGAAAGAAGGGAGTTTGGATTTCTGCGGGTTTTGATGGTCATGGAATGCCGGTTATTTGGCTGACGATGAAAGGATTGGTGGACATGATAATGGATGGAAGTTCGTTCGAGGATTCCGGCACCCCCAGAATCTTCAAGACGACTGTCGATCGCTTAGAGGACCTGAGAGATGATTATGCCCATAAGGCATGAAATTTTGGGTTTAGGGTCCCTGGGATTCCCCTCTACATAATGGTCTGCTGAGGATTAGAATCACGTATATGGTCAACTTCGGGTTTTCGTATTTCCCCAAAGATAGCGAGTGATTCTTATACTACGACCGATAAGTTAAAAGTTACTCAGAAATGCTAGAACTCCTACCATGAAATCTACGACCTAGGCTTTGGTGCTTTCAGTGGCGCTGCGGACAACAAACCTTGAGTTGTGGACAGTTCCATTCATGGGAATTCGAAATACAGTCATTGAGCTCCAGACCCAAGTTGATCTCACAAGTAATGTTAAAGCTTCTCTTGCAAAGACCCCATAAGACCACTTGTAATACTAACCCTCCTGATTTCAAACTCTCTTTTGTGTATGTTGTGCCCCCAGAGAACACCGTTTCTATCAAAAGTGGGTGAGGGGAAAAGAGTAGAATTGATTCATGAATATTACTTGTTTGTGCTCGGTAATCAAAAAATGAGATTCGGAAAGAAGCTTTTAGAGAGGTCGCTTCTACTCCAGGATCCAATATAATCTTATCAAATGACAGTTAAAGGTTATAAGTTATAAATATTGGAAAGTGGGATATTGGGGGTGCCAAGTTGTTAATGACTGAAGTGAAACGTCGATCATCTCCCGGAACGGGACATTTGGAATTGACAGGATTGGCATCATCATAACTCAACGCGGTGTCCTTAAGCTTTGCCCAGGAATAGAACCAATTTTGACTTCCTGATCTCCTGTTTTCTCTATTATTACCTGACCTTTTGACTTTTTGCAAGGCTGTAACATATCACCTGGTTCACATTCTCTCAATTGTTACTTGACATTGAACCTCTAGGGCCCATTACTTCATACTTCGTATCTATTGTCGTATGTGGAAACTTTATCACTCGTGACTTGAAGGGCACAAAGACATGCACTGGAAGTAGGTATGAAATAAAATATGTTAAGGACTGGACTTTGTGATACTGCCAGTACTACAGTACGATTTGGCCCCACTTCTTAAGCGAATTAGCGAATCAGTACTGTATCTTCCGTACCTTTCGTACAACGAGGCGCTATATATGTGATCTCTCATTGCATAGAAGATACGCGATCTTGCTCAATCCAATTTGTCCACCTTCTCTATTTAGAATGTGAGTGGATATAAAGACTAAATCTTAGTAACTCGGTATATGTGTGCGGCAGTATACATACAACAAGGCTGTTTCCAGCGTGAATCCATTCCCTACGAGAGAATTCTATTTCACAAGTTACTGTGATCTAGTACGAAGTAGGAGACTCAAGATCTGAAAATAGATATCAGGCTTCCACTTCCAACTACGACGACTGCCATCAAGGAGAGGTATTTCCTCATTACTTGATACTCAAATCCACTAGTAAACTAGGATATCCCTTCCCTGATCAAAGGTTACAACTTGTCATCTGCAGGTAACATGGATGCTTGATCTCAGGTTTTACGACATACTTCGGAGATGGTCTGCTCGCAGGGGTCAATACGACTTTATTTTCACATTCTCTGCTCCGTCCCCTACCTGAACCTCTGTCTTGCCCTAGCACGTGCCTAGCTTTGTACAATGGAAGACATATTTGGGATAAATGTGTAACGAATAAAATTAGAACGGTGGAGTTCAATGCTGCTTACCCTTTATACTACCGAAAGAGCTGTAGGATGCTTGACTCGAGCCTATCATAAGGTAGGAGTGAAAGAGGGGTATGAAGCTATTCGCAACCTTAAAAGTCCTAAGAGAATTAGATAGCTTTTAGAGTAGCTATGCAGCTATCTCATATCCCCTTAGAGGTAGACAGGAATATTAGTGGTGCGATGTAATCTAATAAGTATTTTGATTAGCCCCACTTAGTCGCCCTAAAACCCCTACAGAAGACAAAGCACGAGTAAGCTAGTAGCTCGCTAGTGAATTCCTTTTTGACTTGCGACTGTCAGTACACCACAGAAACTAAGCTGGATCTGCACTTATCGTAATAAGGTCTTTAAAAAGCAATATTCCAGCAGGGACAGGGATTATGGCAGTGAAGTAGTGCGGATCCCTGAAATCAAGGTATTGGTCGTATAATCGGGAGTGCACGCCCCGCGTTAGCGCTGGCGTCAGCTCACAGGCCCACTTACTTGTATATGGTCATTAAATTTCAAAATACCCCAGAAATTTCCTCTTGAGAGTGTACGTTTCGAAAAATAAACTTCAAGCTTGAAAGGGTTGCCCCATTATGGGATGCTGGCTAGGCTTCGCGATTGAGTTGTCCCAAATTCTGCTTACGTCAATCAAAAAGGCTCTTCAGTCCTCTTGTAAATAGGCCTCTTACTAAGGAACATCTTACCACAGAGCATAATAGACACTGAAACTTATCGCGAGGCGACGGCTGTAGAGAATAGTTTGGTATACAATAACAACAATGGTATTTCTTCATGTCGCCATCATGCCAAGGTACCCCGGAAACCATATTGAAGAGCTCTTGTCTAATATACTTTCTTTCGACTGAGTAGAATCTAGCAGAATCAAGTGGACACTCTAATCATTCTACATCACGCCTTGCTGATATACAGCTCTGGAGGAAGTTTAAGAGGCCCAGACTCAGCAGACAGACTAATACGGCCAAAAGAAAGCTTCCGGGGCAATTGAGGTAGTACTGGAGATGTCTGCATACTGGAGCGCACCCATTTGCAACAAACAAGCAACATTGCCAAGCGTTTCGAAATAGATTGGACAAGTTGTTTGTCTCAGCTAAACTTTACTGACTCCGCGCAGTGCTTCTGCACCCCACACGATCCTCGCACTTCGATCTTCAACCCACTTCAAGCAATGAGTTACAAAGATCAGCCTTCGGATGCGAGTCATCTGCCGAAGGTAGCTATGGAGAAATGATTTCCTGCTGCACATTACAGTACATTTTCCCTCCAACCAGATTCAAGTTTACTAGGCATGCGATACTCATAAATAGATTCATGCCGTTGTGGGAGGTCCACATGCCCTCTCTTAATATCCCATCAACTCTAATACCCCGCCCTCGCTTAAATTAAGTTTTAACCGAGAGCCAACTTTTCACATACGCAGATATGACAAAAGAAGCCCACTAAATTTCATTCAGTGATTCGAGTGACGTTTCCATAGGATTATTATCAAGTTCAGTTGGAGGAATGTATAAGTGGAAAGATACAAGAGATAATTAGCTGTCTGATGCTGGGGAAAGGCTTAATGGTATTTTGACCTGATGATATTAACGATCAATCCAGTATGAAATAGAATTCCCTGACGGTTTGTGCCAGGGCCATACAATACTTCGAAGTACACACGTGCACCATAAAAGCGGGTCTTTTGCGGAGTAAGTCCAACGAAGCTTAAAACCCCCCCTGGATATTCACAGTATTCCTGCGGCCAACGACACAGGGACTGGGTTTCGTATTTTCAGAAGTAGCATTCTGGCGTATCTCGATACCCGTTTTATCTGATAACAACGGACCACATTTCATTCCATGGGATGTACCTGGGAACACAGCCCAGGAAAACAAGTAAGATGACCCACCCACTCCAAATTGCTACTTACCAGCCTTTCAGGCAACTACACTACTTGATCATATTTAAACTTCTCTTTCTTCCCTCCTACCCTCAATCACTCGGATCACAATTCTTTCTCGTTCCCCGTTTGTGAGCGATTGATTTCCTCGATGAACACTCACACTGTATTGCTCGCAGCCTACGGGCTATGGGCCATAGCTGCATTTCCCTTTGCCTTCCCTTCACCACAGGGCGTCGGAACAGGCGCCGACTCCTGTCCCTCAGAACCTCTCAACAATGATACATGGATTGAACTGGATTTGGACAACTATCTCATGGAAGCAGCTCACAACATCACACCTACGGAGACAAACAATGTCCAGGCATTAGCCCAATATTTTGGTGCGCCAAACTTTTTCTGGTACGTCTTGCCATCATTAGCCGACTGGATTATTTACATGCTAACTTTTCTTTGCTTAGCGGTCTTGATAGCTTTTGTAATGCTGGTCAGCCATGTCTGCCGGTGACAACTTCAGCATGGTAAGAACCTCTTCTTTTCTTCTTACCGCAGTTCCTGTGTTAACAAGTTTCTGTTGTAGGTATATATTGGTCGCCATCCAAAACTGGAATCAATACATGAATTCCTTGCACACCGCAGTCATGTTCGCAACGTCGATCATGTCCCTGATCATACCACAAGTCGTCAACGATTTGAATCCCCCTAGAAAGAATCGAGATACCCCTATGAAAAATATGGTGGGCCTCATTTCTCTAGTATTGGGTTTCATTCCCTGGTCAGGGGAGATGGCCAAATTTGGTGAACAGATTAGCAACGCCAGGTTTTCCGCAAGTCACGCCAGCGGCCGGATGAAACCGACGGTACAGCCAGACAAATTTATGATCTGGGGCGACGTCGCCGCTTCACTCGGTGAACTTGCCCAAGATTACCAGCGTGCCGTCGCAACAGAACTCAAGAGACTACTCGACTCACCAATCGACGCCAAAGATGGACTAGGTGGACTTTTGGGCGGTGGAGGCTTCTTAGGCATTGCACAAAATTTCACTCAGGCTGGTAAGACCGTCCGCTCCTCCATTGTTCTAGAGGCGCCCCACGACCATTTACTCCTGGCCCTCTTTCTACACGGTTCTCAGAATGTAGTTAGTCAACCAGAGAGCATTGCTGACATGTGAATCTCCACAGACTTACAAGAGAGAGTCACCGATGTCATCACCAGGCGTTCCATCGCCCTCGTACTCCAAGAACAAAAGGCATTCATTTGGCGCTATCCAAATGGCTGCAAGGACTACGGCAAGGCTGATGTGATGTGCGTGGACGACGGCGATTCTATTGGAGGAAAGGCCGGCTATAGGCTCATGAAGCCAGATAGATTCAAACCTAACAACGCCAACTCTATGGAGGAGGCAGCTGGGCTACTATTGGGGAAATACGGAATGACCAAGGATGAGCTCTTCATGGGGCCAGTTCGCTGTTTCATAAACAACGGCAGGCAACAATTGGCCGACCCTTTCGGCGACAACCTACCAACAAATAAAAGTGTCGATTGCCTATTTAACCTACAGATCTGCGACAAAGTGAGAGGGCTTGGGGAAAGAAACGTGCACGTCCGTGGTCGTAAGTCCATCATCGAGAATTGCCGGGACCAGGGCTTGGATGTTTGAAATACATCAGAGACGCATGAGTAATTTAACCGTAGGATGACTGGGAGTCAAAACCCTGGTTGGGCGTTTGGATAACTGTGGGCGACTATCTCTTCACGTGTTATCCTTGGAATGTCACCTTCAGAAGAGTAGCTGCGAGAGGGCTCCGCTAAATCCTGCATTTGTCCGGACATGACTTTTAACACCACGGCTGTCCACACGATTGAGACGTCCATTTAATTCGAAGGACTCGGGAAATACCCGCTATGGCATTGCAATTGCAAAGTTCCAGCGGTGGGGAAGATTGACCTTGTGTATCTTTTTGCGGACGAAATCTGTTCCAAGATTTGACTGATAGCGGTTATGGCTCGCTTGTTGGCGCACCATGGTCCCTTATACCGATTTGGGATTGGTTGAAATTACCTGGGTAGGCGACCATGGGTTATTCAAACCCTCCGAAGGTTCGACAATTGACTCTCCGAGAACAATTGATGAATATGGATGAAAGAGGGAAGATGAATTTGGAGAGGAATTGGAGGATTATAGCTTGTGTTGAACAGACTCAGTACATTTGCAGCTTGACTGATTCACGCAAATTGATAGCCCTAGACTTAGAGGCTCCTGGTTCAGAATACTGTAGAAAAGCGGAGTCAAACAGAATCCGTTATCAATTTTCTCAAAGTGGCTTAGCGAGTTCTTCTAGGTAGTTTGAATAAACCGGCAATTGCTCTTAAATTCATTGGTTGATGTGTGTGGGCTATTATAATCCTCTCGATGGACTTTGTACATACTCACACCACTCCCTTTGACCAGGCTTCAGCAAAACTTCATCATCCCAAATATTTTCAACGGACATCAAATCAAGTATCCCAACCATAATGATGGTTTTTCTGAACTATCCAAGGCGTGCCAGTTACGCGTAGAGCAATCGGGTTCAATGGTTTGGTAAGCAGAGTTGGTTGAGAGTTGCCTCCCTGCCAAGCACTATCCGAGATACGCCGCTCCACTCCAGCCTCAAGAGTCACGAAGCACTTGCCAAGTTGGGGATCAGTAGATACATAATGTGGGGCCACCAGGGGGTGTCAGAATTCAAGACGCAGTCCCTGATTTTCGCCCAAAACACACCAAAAACCACGTTTTTACAACCCTATAACTCTACGAATTATATTAGAACTATACATAATATCTTATATATTATCTCTCTAGTGTATATAGACCAAGTGCATACCGAGAGTTTTTATTAAAATCTAATATTTTAAGAGATACTCTAGTAGAAAGTTTCCCTCTACTAAATTCCCTACTAAATTTACTAGTCTTATAGTATAACAGAACAGTAACATATATTGAAATTCTGAAGAGTACAAGTTGAAGCCTTTATATGCCTATGCCTAAATCTTTAATTATAGACGCTTTGGAATATCGCTCGATTTATTATAATTTATTAAAGTCGGGTGTTTTTGGTGTGTTTTCGGCCAAAATCTGGGACTGCGTCTTCAATTCTGACGACCCCTGGTGGGGCCGTATAAACGAATCCTCTCAAAGGCGCGTAATAAAGTGAATTTTGTCACACCCTATCAACATAATCTATAGGTAGTACATTACACAGACCTTGTGTGGAAGTTGAGAGATAATTCTGAAATTTGGAGGGTTGCTGGATGGCCTAAGTCACCAATTCAAATTAAGACTTAGTGCTAGATGGCCATCGGCAAACAAAGGTGCCTGGATCAAGGACTCGTATAACTTTCGTTTGTACCTTGGCGTTATAATAAGCATTCAGTTATATTTATTTGAGAGCTATAGGCCTCGTAAAGCGCTCGTTCATACCTTTGCTATGGGATAAGCATCCGATTGTTTGTGAGTTACGTGTCTCGTGGACCTTCGATATTGGGGCAAGGAATGTGTATTATTCGGCCTGAGAAGGATGATCACCATAAATCAAAAAGTGCTTGTTCTCAAAATTAACTCTCTCTTTCTCTCTCCTTTTATATAAAGACCCAATTTCTGAAATCTGTCTATCCTCGAAGGATTGTTGTGATCGCCTATCCCATTGCTCTGGTATAAATAAAGCATCCCAACATAAGACTTTCTCACTAGTAATCTTACAGTATAGTATTTATAGATGTCAGGTGCTTGGCACGTGTAGGCAAACCTGTGACAATAGAAAAGAAACCAAGCTTTGTCTTTCTACTCCAAATATTTCACGTCAACAGCAAGAAAGCCTTTGCTGAGCTCGGAATCACTACTGTAAGCGCTCGACTACTCATGTGCGGCTACTCTAACATCGGCCAAACAGAGTTAGGTAGTCACGGGGCCCGTCCAACCACGAGTCACAGTAATCGGTCCGATCCGACTGAGGCTACTTGATTCTCACGAAATAGTCGCTTAACTCGAGTTGGTGGAGAAGTATTCATGTATGAACAAGAGGAATAAAATAACAGGTAGAACTCCATGATTTTTTATCTACTTTACTCATTAAATACACCGATCCTAACTAATTTGGATTTTTCTCCACCGTCCTAATATATGAAATGAGCGAATTGTTACAGTACTTGGATCATCATAGAAATGGAAATAACTGCGACAACTTGAGTCTCGGCCTTTCTTTTCGCTTCCACCCCAGCCTTCATACAGAATGACGGGCGATTTATGGGTTGCATAATTGTACTCCCTGTAATAGTAATATATCGCATGAAAGAGAAGGGTGGAGACCCCGCAGTCTTGGCGGTGGTCGTTTTGTGTACTAGGCACAATAACTGTAACTTTTACGGCGAGTTTTACCCTGCATCCCCACTGAAGCTACTCTGGAGAAGTTACAGTTTTTCTGCCTGGGACGAAGTACTTCCGTACATTACCCTAAGGTTCCAGTGCCAACACTAGGGGCAGGTATATCGACCCCGCCCCGCCTCGGCTACTGTAATGGGTGGTCTAAGCTTCCCGTGCGTTACTGTATTCGTACTTAATGTTACCCTTAACACCACGCTATAAAAATAATCGTGATCTCTGGTTTTGAAATCGATACAACAATCCATTACTATTTAGAGTCATTTTTCTATTCCAAAAACAATCAAGCCAAAAAGGGTATGCAAAGTAAGTCAAGTAGCATTATAGACAAACACCTCATGATGTGTGAATACTTTGCTTTGTCTCTGCTACAATCAAGAATCACCATATTCACTCAATAATCAAAAGCTATACATCAAGAGGCATGTACTTGGGCGTTGTATAGTGAGTTACTTGCGCTTACATTTGAGCTTTCGCTTAAGTATGTAGGGGTTGATCTTAGGTAGCACAAGTACTAGGAGGCTAGCAAATCATATAACATATACGAAGTAAAAGTTACAACGGAAAGTATGAACGTGAGTTCAAAAGGTTTTTTACTTTACTGTAGTACTAGCTGGAAAAAAAAAGCTTACCCGTTCAGATAGAAACAGTATTTACTACTAAATTAGGAGCGCGGTGAATTTCATATATTAGGTGAGTTTATTTACCGCAATCCAGGGTGTCAAAAGTTTTATTGTGTGAATACTGGTAGGTTAAGACTATATATGGAACTTAGTAAATACAGTAGCGATTTTACCAACCTGGTTAGATGAGTATATTTATATTTCTTACTAACGTCCAACTCAACATAATGGCGTGCGGAGATATTGAGCTCCGTGATGTTTACCATTGCATATATATATGTGCCTTGCAAAGAAATATGATCCTGGTCACTCCAAAACGAACATTCCACCATGCCAGCCGTAAGCACGACTCAAACGTCGCCCGATATGTCTAGCATTCCTAAAAGGGATTTTACCCACGGGGTGTGGTTCATGGAATTGGATGCTTCTTTCGCCGTCTGTGGGATTGAACTGCCAGACAGATCCATAGAGCTTTTCTGGGGTAAAACCGGTAATCGACATAGCGAAAAGGAAATCCGCCCAGGCAATTTCTCCTGGCGTATCTGTCTGGGATGGATTGAAGAACAGAATCTTGAAAACCTTGAACGCGCGATTCTTCAGCTTATATATGCGTTATTGAGCCTCGGGGATGTCTTCGTTTGCTGCCTTTGCTTCAGTTTGTCTTGGGGTTGCCTCTCCTCGAGTTTTCAGTTTGGACTTCATTTCCGGCGCCACAAATTTAGATGGTTCCTCAGATGGAAGCTGGAGCTCCGAGAAGGCTTCAGATAGTTTACCCTTTGGTGCTGTTGCCTTGGAACCCTTGTTGGATAGCTCAACCCATGCCGGTGTACGCTCTATTGGATGTAGGTCACTGAGAAAATTACCCACAATCTGCGCGAGAGGTTTTCCCACTTTCTTTGGCACTTTAAATCAACCATCTTCCAGAAGTAGTCTAAATGTTCTTCGGCTTGACGCATCTTTTCAACATTTTCCTTCGTGCGGCGCTTTTCTGAGGGGTAGGGAAACCCTTAAAAACCGTTGTCTGCAGGAGACCAGATCTTGGCGAATGAGATACCCTGTAGACCATCTAGGATATCTGCTACGGAAGCGAATCTCTCGCTAAAGGTTGTTTTGACTTCATCCCCGTGATCTATTTTCGCGTGTTCAAACCCAGCTGCCCATGGGAAGTATCTATCCAGCTCATGGCGTATCCGGGCAATAAGACCGAGCTCTGAAAACACATTTGAAACCCAAGAGGAAAGCGAGGACTTTTCAGAAGGATCATTCTGAGTTACTTTCTCAATTTCGTCCACGATGGCAGGCAAGCCTAGAAGTAGTAATTGCTGTTCGTTCCAGAGAGATTGAAAGAGCCACATCAAATGAGAGGTTTTCCCCGACTTGCTTTGAACCCTAATTATCGTCGTTTCACCAATTTGAGGTTGTCGTACAAAGTCTGAACGCAGCGGTGGAGAAGCGACCAAGCCCTGTTTGAGTTGAGCGATCGGAGTATTCTTACTTTGTTCCAAGATGTGATGAAGCAATAGTAAAGCTTTGAGGTATTCCTCTGGAAGTCGATTGTTGGGCGATATCTCTTCTAAGTATTTTGCTTGTAAGTCGGCAACCTGGCCGAGCTGGTTCCGGATCTGACCCCATACAACTATCGCAGAGTATGCACTGGAGATCACCCCGTGAATTACTCGGTCCCAAAATATAGGCTTGCTTAGTACAGGATGCTTCATGCGTAATGTGTCTAATAAGGTCTCTTGTCGGTGGTCGGCCCAGTCTTTGACGATTTCTTGGAAGTCGTCGGGATCCTCTCTTAGATGATGTATGTGATCTTCGGCACTATAAAAGTCAATAAGCTGTAATTCCGACGACTGTGAGTTTCAAATAATTTTGGTGAAGCTCTTAAAAGCCATTTACTACCTGCCCAAATATGAATACAAGTTCGCGGCTTACCTAGAGAATTGGGCATCGACTATAGCTTGTAGGCGTAAAAAGTCGATTTTGGCTGGAAGCCTATATGGCGTCTCTGCAACGACTGAAGAAATTTGTAGATGTTCCGCTGTATCATGTAGAGAAGGGGGCTCTGATTTGATTGGGGCCTGGAGAAGTATCTCCGTTGAGAAGTCGTGAAGGATTGCTTTGGAACAGTCTAAGAGAAAGTGGAAGATCTTTTGCTGGATTTGCAAAATCATGAGGCCTTCTCCAGGCTGGTGCTTGATCCTAGACACGCACATCTCCATAGCGTCATCGTTGTCGTCCCATGAAATTAACCGGCCATAGGATTCAGGGCTCGTTCCGTCCAGGAACATTGTGTGTAAGTTGAGAAACGCCGGAATACATGCACCGCTGATATGTCCGATCCTCATTGCTTCAAAATCTGCATGTGCAAACATGTATGGGGGGTTACGCCCTCTACGTGGAAATGTCAGTTGAGCAAGTAGGGGGTCATGGAAAGTAAAAGCAATAGGAAAAACATGGAAGCCGAGGGGCTTGGGTACACTCATGTAAACTTGATATCATTCTAGAAGCCTCGAACAATGAAATCCATTAAGCTCCCGTTATAGAAATGCAAAAGGAGACAGGGTTGCGTTATCTTATGTATTCGATAAAAGTCGTTTGTCCAAGAACTTCTAGAACACCATAATGCCTTCTTGCAGATGTGTGTGGAATGATGACCGAAAGTAATATGACTTGTATGGGTTGAGGTTCACTCAAAACCATGATTCAACTCTCCCATGATACCATCAGAGCGAAAAACCAAAGATTAGTGGCAGCAGTTTGAGGGCCTAACTTCCCAGATGCAGAGAGGACGGGGCCGCAGCTTGGTACCTAGAACAATCACGTATCAAGCTCATCTGAATGGTTCAACATGGACCCCATGCCGCAGTTCTTGCTGCCCAAAATACAGAGATGCCGGAAAGCTACTGTAACATACCTGCTGTTGAGAAAAAGAAGAAATGACTTTCCCCGCACGAGGTCTTCTATGTTGATATATGGCCATATATACCAGTCCTTCAGATGACTTCTCTCTGACTTTATCTTAGGTCCTTCTCGTTTTAACGCCTCGAAGTCTGGTCGATGCATTGATGGCATGTTTGGCCACGCTTCGGTTATGATCGCCATACGGTTTGCCTTAGTCTTTTTCATCCAGCGCTTGCGCAGAACTTTCTCATGTCCCTCCAATACTCGCTTCAAAGTGTTCCATTGTGACAAGATATCCACAGAGCGTTCACGAGCTTCTTTCTGAACCTCTTCAGCAGTCGGCATAGAGGTGGTTGTGGTAGTCCTAAGGTAGCGAAAGATTTCTCTTCACTAAACTTGCCTTCCGACAACATGCCTTGCATAAAATCATCCAACTCCGACTCATCACTATGTATGTCAATAACATAGTCGAGAGCAAAAAGATGAAACGAAGGAGTGTGGATTGCGGTAGAGAACTGATAAGACTGTTGCTAATTAAGTCAGGTACTACCTAGTAGGAGTACGGGAGCACCTGTTCTAGGTGTTCTACTACATAGATCAGGTATTCCCGACTACCTAATTTAGGTGTTCTAAGAACTTTACAAAATTAAAAAAATTAAAATCTTTTAAATTCTCTTGTTACAAAGATAATACTTATTTATATAATACTTGATTTATTATAGAGTTCCTGTTATTATAGTATTAGCTATAACTACTTCTATTATCTATAATTTCTTAATTCCCTCCCTAAAACTCCCTTAGAATTTTTAACTTCTACTCGCTTAGTCCTACTATACTAATAGTATAAATCCTTTAAAAAATAATATATTTAAGGCCCTAAGCTCTATTCTACGCCTAGTATATAAGAGAAGTTACTATATAAAGAAGGAGTTAATTTAATTAATTTAATATTTAAGAGAGTAATATCTACTTACTAAAGTATGAGTACTTTAATATTCTAGATTTATACTTCTAGAGTATACGTAACTACTAAAGTATTTATAAAAGAATATTATAGATTCGATAATAAAAGAATAATTAATAATAAATGTTTAAGTTTATTCTAGGATTTTAGATATACTAAAGGTAGGTATTTTTATATATAGAGATTTCGAGAATAAATATATATTTAATAATAAATTATAAATACTATGTATAGTAAAAGGTAAGTAATAAGTATCTTCTATAAAACTTCCTTTAATATTACCTACTCTTACTCCTTTATTAAGTATTCCTTCCTATAAATTACTTCTTTTACTTATTACCTAGTAACCTAATAAAAGTAGTTATGAATAGCTTTAATAAAGTTATTAGTCCTAAGATTAAATAGAGTTATTAGTCCTAAGATTAAATAGAGTTATTAGTCCTAAGATTAAATAGTTGTTAATAGCCTATATATAAATAATATTAATAAATTACTAGTAGACTACCTTATAGTATAACGCTAGGATATTATAAAGATCTAAGACTATATATTTAGTAGTACTTAGAGACCCTCTATAAAGATCTAAGACTATATACGTATTATTACTTAGTAGTAGTCTTTAAACTTATAATCTTAAGATTTTTAATACTCTTAGCTCTACTTAGTAGAAGTATAAGGGTACTTACCTAGATATTACTAGAGAACTCTTTTAAAGCTATAAGAAGAAAGAGATTATTAATTATACTATAGCTATTAGATAATATTAAACTATAAAGAAGTACTTTAAGACTTATACTACTCTTACTACTATCTTTAAAAAGACGCTTATTAAAGATAGCCCTAAGCTATCTAGCCTAGTATCTAGATAAGCTTTTATATAAGAATTAAATACTACAGCTTTGAGTACTTAGGTAGAATTATATACTCACTAGAATATTTATAAATTAATATTATAAATTAATAGTAAGAGTTTAAATAATAGTAAATGTTTAAGCTTATTCTATTTATAGTAAAATATAAAATAAGCTCTTTATAAAACCCTTTCTAACGTTACTTATACTTACCCCTCTATTATATATTCTTTTCTATAAATTACTTTACTTACTACTTCTATAAGTGGGGTCTCAGACTATATATTTAGTATTACTTATTAAAGTATAGTACTCTTTAAAGTAGTAGTCTTAATATCTTTAGTACTTAATTTAACCCTTCTTAACCTAGATCTTAGACTTTATATTATTAATCGTATTAAATAATTTAACTTTAAGAGTAATTATACTTTTAGTTAAAATCTTAATAAAGATATATATACTACTACAAAGTCTAAGAACTAAGTAGAGTATAGATTCCTTCTAGATAATATAGTTCGAGAGAGTATATCTACCCTAATATAAACGCTAGGATATTATAAAGATCTAAGACTATAATGTAACGAATACTCAAACTGGCTAACTAAACTTGGCTGGGTGTTCGCTGGTTGGATCCTAGGATCCCCAAGATCCATCCAGATCCAAAGATCCGTCACGTGACTATAATGAAATCCTTGGATCGCTTAGCTAGTCTAGCCGATCCCTATTCGCTATAAGAGCATGATAGTGCTTAACCTGTCAGGACACCGCCTGGTCTTCACTCGTCACATGCTAACACGTGTGTCACGAATCACGTGTTAGCATGTGACGAGTTAGTCCAAACGGCGTTCTGACAGGACAGATACATCCAGAGTAGTTATATCATAGC